ATACTTATAACACCCACCCATGTACAAGAAGTAGTTGTTAGTGCATTGTGTACATACACCTTGATCACATTGATTATTTGCTTTAGCACTATTACACTTCCCATCTATAGGATACGTATTAGCTTCTCCACAGTATGAGCAATAATGATGCTCTACACCCTTATCATCAATCACTATTGCATCGCAGGCACCAGAGGTACCACCACAAGCAGTGTCATCCTCACAGGTCTTCACACATGTATAGTCATCCCCCGCATCTCCATTGGATTGCTTCCTGTAGTTAGGCTTACATTCAGTGCATTTGAATCCACCAGTGTTAGAGCATGCACTGCACCCTTCGCGGCCCTTATTGTCCACACTGTCGCATGAGACACACTCACCAGGGGCGCCACTCTTCAGGAAGAACCCGGGCTTGCAGGTTTGGCACTGGTTAGCATTAGCGCTGTTGCAGGTGGCACAGTTGGTCCCACAGGGCTTGCAGGTGGTATCAAAGTAGAATCCAGGGAGGCATTCTGAGCAGATTGGAGGCTGTGCCAGGTCGGTTTTCTTACACCCACTGCACTCAGCAATTCCCTTGTTGGGGGCGGTTCCTCCGGTAGCGCTGCATAGTATGCAACTGTTCTCATCCTGGCTTAGGAAGTGTGTTCCCACTGTGTTTAGCGCTGCACATCCCGCCTTATCCACGCACTCTGTTGATCCATCGACATACCCTTTAAGGAGAGGCTTGGCTCCCCCACAGGCGGTGCACTTCGGCTTCTGTAGCTTTGCATCGTACGTGCAAGCAGTGCACTCTGGTATGCCCCCCTGATCTGCTCCAGCGTTACAAGCTATGCACTTGCCGGTGCTTGGGTCGGGGTACTTATCTCCATTACAACTGCTAGCATCTACACAATTATTCCCATCGAGATACTTCTCGCCCGCACAGAGGGTGCACTTAGTTGCGCCCTCACCGCTGCAAGTCAGACAAGCTTCATTACATTTGACACATGCACCGTTACCATCTTTATAGTACCCTGCTTGACACTCTGTACACGTGGCAGGTCCTGCATTCCCCGGTGCTGTACACTTGAGGCAGTTGGCCACTCCTTTGTTCTCATTCGCTCCCGTGGCATCATGACAGAGGATGCACTCCCCACCAGGGGTCACCTTCTCTGCCTTGTTCTGGAATATGTACTGACTATCTGTATTACACTCAGTGCACACTCCACTACTGGCCTGTGTGCATATCTCACTCCACTATCACCCATTATCACACATTGTACAGCATTCACTACCTAAGTCACGCCTTCCCCCTGCAGATGAACCACCAGCAGAGGAACCCTATGAGACCCCCCACGACGACGACCACAGCGACGGAGATCCCCGCGATGGCCCCCGTGGAGAGCCCGCCCCTGTTGGCGCCAGAGGACACACACATGCCATCCCTCGGGACATAGCCCTCCTCGCACTCCCCGCAGACGCCCTCTGCGCTGCACCGCATGCACCTCTCTATGTCACAGACAATGCACTGGGTGCCGTCCAGGCTGGGTCTCTGGTCTTTATTGGTACATGCCTCACACTTGTTGTCTGCGCTGCAGTGAGAGCAGCCCTGGGCCGGACACACATAGCAGGTGCTTCCAGCCATGTTGGGCTTCTTATTGTCCTCAGCACACACCTCGCACATCCCGTCGATGGCGCAGCTCTTGCACCCGCCGACCGCACACAGGGTGCACCCGCTGCCATCCTTGTTGGGCTTCTTCGTCTTGTCGCACGCACTACAGACCGCCGCGGCCATCGCATTGGCGGCTGGCGCCTGCGGGGCCGCGCACGCCGTGCAGTCTAGCACGCCGACGTACGCCTTGTCGCCCGCGGTCGCTCCCACAGGGTTGCCACAGGCAAGCACGGACTGCTGAGCAGCAGAGTCCCCGGGAATCTTGAAGTAGCGCCCGACCGGTGTGGTGCAGAACCCACTTGGAGCCGCAGAGCACATGAGGTTGCCAGGAGCCTTCGACACATCATAGCAACCACCCATATAGAGGAAGTAGTTGTTGGTGCACCGCGTACATACGCCATCGGCGCAGGTATTACCTGCAAGTGCATTGGTGCACTTCCCATTAATAGGGCCATAGCCGGCGCCAACACACTTTGAACAGTAAGAGAGCATGCTGCCGTCGTTGCCGACCACGATGGCGTCGCAGGCCCCTGCTGTCCCTCCACATGCAGTCTCATCTTCACAGGTCTTTGTACATGTGAGGTCGCTAGGTTCTCCGCTGGGTCTGTAGTTGGGCTTACATTCAGTGCATTTGAGGGACCCCACGCCGCCTGTGCACTCGACACAGCCTGGAATCCCACTTGTCTCGTCATCACAGAGAACGCATGTCTTAGGCGGGCCATCCTTAAGGAAGTACCCCGGCATGCATCTTGTACATGTGTTGATTTGACCCGCTGTTCCGCACTCTGCGCAGTTTCCTGTGCAGGCCTCGCAGGCGTTTCCGTTGACTTTATACCCGTCGACACAAGCCTCGCAGGTGCCTTTTGCGGTGCACAGCTTGCAGTTCTGGACTCCGCCCTTACCATTGTCGCCGCACTGCACGCACTTCGAGGCGTCGTAGAAGTGCGTCTTGCCCACTTTGCACTCGGCCTCATCAACACAGGTCGTTGTCCCATCCAGCTCGTCTCTGACCGTCTTACTACCGCAGTCGGTGCACTTCGGCTTTCCCGTGGCGTCGTCGTATGCACACGCGGTGCATCCTTGTATCTCACTGCAGGCCTTACAGGTCCAGGTCTTCTTGTCCGCATAGTTACCATTGTCACATCCACCAGCATCTACACAAGTGTTACCACCCTTCAAGTACTTCCCCTCAACGCAGGCGGTACACTGAGTCGGAGTATCAGCTGAGCAAGCAGAGCAGCCGTCTCCGCACTTCACACATGCACTGCCCTTCGTAACGAACCCTGCTTGACACTCTGTACACGTGGCCGGTCCGCTAGTGCCCGTGTGGGAGCATTCTGAGCATCCAGCGACTCCCATGACCCCGTTTCTATCTATAGTATCGGAGCACAAGATGCACTCGCTACCCTTCTCTGATGGTGTAACTGGGTTCTTGAACAGGCCGTTAGCTGTCTTACACTCAGTGCACAGTCCTCCCTCAGCCTTTGTGCATATCTCGCTGCCGGGCCCGTCGGTTGTCTTGTAGCACCCGCCCATGAAGAGGAAGTACCCGTCGCCGCACTTTCCGCAGGTGGTTGCCGTCTTGTCGAGGGCAGTCCCGTCTGCTTGGGTGCACCCGGCTGCCGCGGCCTGGGGGGAGCCGGGGGGCCAGCAGAAGCCGTCGACTGGGACGCCCCCGGTCTTGCACTCGGTGCAGATCTCTGTGCTACCGACCGTCTCGCACTTATCGGTCTGGCAGGTCGCTGTATGGTTCCCGTCTTGCTGGCAGGTCACTGCAAGCGCGCTCACCACGAACAGGGGTATCAGTAGAAAGGCTGTGGTGTGGACCGGATTGCGTGCAGCGGGTGGGGGTGCCCCGGCGGCCTCCTCTCTGAGACTCCCACTCCGAGGGTTGCCCCAGGGGGGAGCCCGCTGGCCTGGTCGCACACGAGGCGCCCTGTCGTGTGCCCGGAGGGACGGCGCTGCACGGGCGACGGGTGAGAGGTGGGATCGGCTCGTCGAGACAGAGTAATGGCTCTACTCGATAGCCCTTAGACCTCCTGCTTCACTGGCAACCATTCCTGAGTATGTAGCGAAGACCCGTGCGAATAGCCCGCCTTCCTCCGCCACTGGATTGTTGCTGAGATACAGGCCTATAGAGGGGAAGGTTGCAATCTGATCCCCGAGAGTAAATGCATCAAAGATTGACCCCAGAAACAAAACAAGGAAGTCGACGAAGAGCTGGCCTGCGCCGGTAGTGTGCCACCGCCTCGCAGCAGAGCTGTCAGACACAAGGCTCTGGCCCGGCTCTGGGTAGGGAGGAGCCCATGCTGCAGGGCCGCTGAAGTTTTGACGAATACGCTCTACATATGCCTCGATGGGGGACGCAGCGGACCGACCGAACAGCCGCCCGATTAAACGAGGCCGCCCCCTTGCCCGGGCCAGCTTCAATCGCGCAGAAAAGTAGGGCCCCGTCTCTTCGATCCCGCTCAGCAAAAGGCCTGCCTCTCCGCTCTCACTCATCAGCCCAGTCGGGAAGGACACAGAAAAGGCGTGCTCGCACGCAGAAACGAAAGACCTGGCGGCGTGGAGCAGCGCAGTCAAGGGTCCGCTGTCGCCCAGGTGCATACAGCGCCTAACCTGTTCCGACACCGAAAGGACGAGTGAAGACAGGGACTCGCAGACAACGGCTGCTTCGCGGCAGAGAGCCGTGTAGAAGAGCTGGTCGCTCCAGTGCGCCGAAATGGAGGCAGCATCCTCCACACGGAGGCCGGACAGGAGGCTAGCCAGCTGGTCGGAGGCCTCTGGCTTCGTAAGATGCGCTTGAGCGCGCGTCTCGTGGCAGGCGCGGAGGCGCGAAGCAAGGATCCTGTCCAGCGCCCCTCGGATTCCTGCTGAAAAGTGCTCACAGATGGACGACGCCATGCACTGCCGCTGCCTCTCTAGAGAGACGCCACGGCCAGCCGGAGACGGGGATATGCTTAGGGCGGAGTGTGCGCGAAGAAGGCACCGGAGGCAGGCCGGGTCGCTGATCTGTGCCATGCAGGCACTCGAACACTCAATGGCGTCCAGCAAGCGGTCTGTTTCCTGCAGCCTTGCGAGCCGCGCTAGAAGCTGGTGGAGCCTTGCGCAGTGCGTCTCCGGGCCCACTCGGCTTCTCCCCGACATCGCGTCAGCCTGGCCCAGAAGAAGGCCCAGCCTAGAACGCAGGTCGCAGGCCCTGCGCCCCTCTCGGAGACGACTCGCCCCACCGGGGTCATGCCCACCTGTTGACGCTGGAACAGGCGGCCGCACAAGCATCTGCAGCGCGGAGGACACAGGCGGAAAGGAGGGAGCCTCCGCCGGCGACGACGCCCTGGGCGCCATAAACTTAAGATTTGGTCCACGGCCGGTGCATTACGCATGTAAACACCTTCCACGTCGAGTGCAGGATAGCCAGACCGGTGAGGGCCTTCGTTGCTATAGCGTGGCAAGTAGATGCGCATGCGGACCGGTGGACTAGGAGGTGAGGGCTCCTCGGAGACCGCGGTGAGTGGGCGATGGCTCGGGCTCTCTGCCGAGGAGGGCAACCACGGCGAGGCTGCCGGCCCTTGCCGTCCGTCATGCTCTCGCCAGAGGGGTGCCTCCCGACTTGCTCCGCCTCCGGGGCTGGCAGCTGAATGAATGGGGTCCGGAAAGAAGCATGCGCGTGCCCGCTAGGTGATCTAGTGGTGCAGTCCAGGGCCAGTGGCTCCTCGTCGTCGGAGGCGCTAAGATGCTGCCCAGCGTGCCCGGTAGGCCAGTGCATTGTGCGACAGCCAAACGGGCTCTGTAGCCTGCCACTGCGTGGACGGGCCTGGGAGACACGACGCTACGCTGAAGCTCCAGTCCACCACGGAAGGAGACGAAATCTCAAAATGCAATCGTATGCAATTTGGCAAGAATAATTCCCGGACAGGCGGACAACCGGAGAGGCTGCCGAGGAGGGCTCATGCTTGCGTCTTCGTTGCGCTCCCTGATGGCGAACTACCACGCCACCGGCGGCGTCGTGCAGGACGCGGAGCTGCTGGCGCTGAGTGACGGCCTGCTCGAGGATGCACGACGCAGCCCTGCCTCGTGTGCCTTCGCAGCGAGCCTTGCAACGCGCACAGCAGGGGAGGGGCCCGAGAGGCTGGAGCGGATCGTCCTGCTGTCAGACCTACAGCTCGGGGTGGAGCAGTCGTACGTCCTCTGGATCCTGGACCTCCAGCCGGAGAGCAGCGAATGCGTCCTCAACTGGCCTACAACGAGACTGCTGCTGTGCCTTGTGTGCGCGCATTTACTCGACGCCACCACATTCGGAGCGGCCCTTGCGGAGCTCTGTGTCATCGGGGGCGTAGACACTGTGCGGGACGTCTTGACTGCTCCCCTGGGCACCGGCGCAGCCCCGTTTCTGAGCGTTTATGCGTGTGGTACAGCGCTGCTGTGCATGCTGCTGGGCTTTGGCAAGGGCTGCGGAGACCCTTTCAGCGCTTGCCTTCCCCTACTGGAGATTCTGCGGGCTGACGCATGCGCGTTCACAGCCCATCGAGCCGCTTCGTCGGCCAATCCGCGGCTGCCTCCCACTGACCCGGCAGCCTTCCCCAGGCTTCTTACAGCCAGCGACACTTTCCAGGTGCTTCTCACATGCAGGCGGGCGCGCAAGTTGGCCGGCGCCGACTCTCTGATGTGCAGGCTTTCTGATGTGCAGGCCGTAACTGACAGGATTAACGGTGTGGCTACAATGGAGCTACGTGGCGCAACGGCATTGGTGGGGCTTTTTTCTACATGTATCGCTCCAGATAGCCTGGCTGCTCTGGTTGCAAACAGGGGCTCGCACTTTTGCCGCCTGGCAGCGGGCCTTGGTCCGCCCAATCAGATAGAGGAGCAATGGTTTGGCAGCGTGTTTGAGGTGTTACTCTTCTTGCACTTTTTGTGTGCACAGGTGACCAGGTGGTTCCTGCCAGAGTTGCAGGGCGCTGTGAACGTGTTTGAACGAAGCAGAAGACTGATAGCAACATCGCAGTCTGACCCAAACTACGCAACAGTAGGGAGATGCGAGAGACAAGGAAATGGTGCGTCAATCATGTTCAGGTGGAGAGCAGACGAGTCATCTAGCTCACTACTCATCTGGAGCTCGATACAGCTTCGGACTGGTCTAAGTACCGGTGGGAGGCTGTTGTCACCCGAAGGTGTAAATAGACTTACGAAACTAAAAGAGATCCTTGCTGAGGCAGAGCAAGCATTTTAGACTACATCCCCAGTCTGACATTCCAAGGATGCGATTTTTATCTCAAAACTTGGTTTTAAGATGACTTCTTTTCCTATCCGGATTGGACCCAGCGACTTTCTCTTCTACGGAAAAGAGTCGTCTACCCTAAGAATTCATGCTGTTCATAGTGAGCCACTCATGGTAATACTTCAGACCATACTACGGCAAGCCAATTTAAGTTATGCCTTGGAGAAGAACGACTCTGTTGTCCCCGTAAAGGTCGAGCCCTCTGCACTAGTCATGAATCCTGATGACAGGAAAGCGATTGCTATTAGCTTTTCTCCTGCGCATATCAGTTCTTTTGCAATTGGAAAGATCCTTGTTAAGGTTGCTAAGCTTCATACAGAAGAGGTGATTGGCACGTATCAAGTGCCAATCCTTTGCCTAGCAGCGTGTGTAGACCTAAACTATGAACTCTTTCAGTCGACTAGTGATGGAACACACGGACTAACAGTCATAAACACAGGAAACTCCCATGGTTTTGTTTGTACCCGTAACTTCCATGGCTCAGATATTGGGATCATATCCCCTGGGGAGCGCATCTTTTTGCCTACACTATCAGACGCATCATCATTGTTTATGGCACCAGTGCTTGTTCACGCACTTGCATCTCTACTTACAGATGACGCGCTTTTTCGCACTGGTATGCATACAGATGTCATTGCTAGCCTTAAAGCAGAATTTCCAGAGTCAATTAAGGCCAGCATGGGCACAGCTCTGGATGACATAACGAAAATGGCATACTCTCTTTATAGCGCATACACTTCCTATCCATTTAAAAGCGACTTACTACGTTTTCTTATCAACCATTGCGTTTGGTACAGCTACAACAACGGAAAGCTAGATGAAAAGCCCATCTGGATCAATACCAGGATGCTACCTAATCATTGTACCACTGAGCTATCTGGATCCTCGATTGGAGAAAGCGTTGAACCGCAGCTATTGTCTTCTTCAGACCTGTCTGTTACTTTACAGCCACTCGCCAACTCGACCCGCCCCATAGGAGGTATAAATGACCGAATGCTTAGCTCTTCAGACTCTGTATCTATTCGCACACATTTTGCTGACCACGCCCCCGGTAGACCACCTGTGATTCCACCAGCGTCGACCTCCACCCTTGAGCCTCGAAGACTAGTGATTGAAAGCGGCTATAACCTAGTTAGTAACAGTGATGAATCACCGGATACTCGCGTACACCAAGCGGCACCGAAGGCAGTCACTTCTTATCAGCCTAGTAGTCTGTGCAAATCTAACCTACCCCCTTCCTCGACTACTTCTGAACTATCAGCAACTCGAGTTGTTGCTGCTCCTTCTGCACATGCAGATATTTTATATTCACCCAAGAAGCCACCCTCAATCACATCCCCACAGTCACATACTGAGTGTAAAGCCAGTTGTCTGGGGCAGACTCCAGCCTTGGAAACTTCACCTAACGATCTACACAGTGTTACTGCACAATCTGTTTCTCGAATAAAGTCGCCGTCCAGTTCTGCCATCAATACTTCAATATATGGCGTGACCCAGCCACATACCTCGTCTACCCCCAGCTCTGCCACCCCAGTCGATGAGATTGAAAAGTCCATTATTAACTCAACCGGTGTCCCACCGTCAGTCGCGCACTCTGCCCACCCATTGGAGTCCAATAACCAGAATACTTCCCAGCATCCATTTGAGCACGCATCTACAAATGTCTCATCTGCCCCCCAACGATCAGTTACCTTTACAGATGATTATTCTAGACGCAGTTATTGTGATCAGGATTCAGTCCATGATGCGTCCTCAGTTCACCGCTTTTCGACCCCAACTCCATCACGATCAACACACTCATATATGCAATCGCCAGAAGATGCGTTGATTGGCAACACTGCAATTATGTACCAAGACTCACCTGCTAGAGCATCTTTACCAAGTTTTGGTTCGAGGGTCAGATCGCATGAGTTTCCTTACTCACCCATTCCTGAGCATGTGTCCAATCCCTCTTCGCAGCATCTACTTCCATCTGGTTATGATTTACAGTATAAAAGTCCAGATAATAACGCAACAGCCCTAGAAAAAGAACTCATTGACCAGTACAATTCTACCCTAAGTGAGTATAGGAGCCTCACACAAGCAATCAAAGATAATTCTCGCAGCGTAAGCAAATTAGCATCTGATTTAAAGGAAGAAAAAAGTAGCACACCTTATACACTCGAGCAAGACTTCACTGACGAGTATTTACCGGACGTGCGTCCATTGTGCATTCACTTTGCTGAGGATAGCATTATTTACAACAATCCGGCAATGAAGTGGGCTGTTAACGGCGTGCCAATATATGAGCGTCCAAAGTACAATGCAACCATGTTCTGGAGAGTTCTAAATGATTCGTTTCTGCTGGGTGGTTCTCCGTTCTTTCCCCCTTACCTAGAATCTCATCGTGGGGTGAACACCACAGGGGGAATTTGCTACCTTACAGGCTCCGTTACTGTGGAAAATAACGCCAATCAGAGTGGATTTATGAACTCTCTTTTGCAGTCAGAGACTCTTCGTAACACTAACGTTTTAGATGCAGCAGAGGATCTACACTATCTTTATTACTCTCTTTCTTTTGTTACATTCGATCCCAGCATATTGAGGATGCGCCTTAGCATTAAGGCTGATAGGCCGCTAACAGGGCGCTTGTCCCCTGGGGAGCAACATACAATAGAGATAACAATTGCAATTGCTTATTCCGACGTTAGCGGAACAGATCTACCAGAAATACCCATGTTCTTACAGTCTTTCAACAGAGGCTCAGATAGAATGAGTGTAACAGATTCTGGGGCATCTCTTTTCTTGCGTGTCTTTGGTGCTCGGTTTGACCGACAGTTCTTTCAAGATGAACTAGAGAGCCTTGATACACTCCAAAATACGATTAGGACACCATCCCGCTTCAGTATCCGTGAGTGCATAGATTTGCCTGTACGCTTTCTCGATGGCATTGTCTGTGATCGAAATGTAGCTGTTAATCCTGTTAATCTGCAGGAGCATAAGGTTGAGATTCAATGTAGTAGAAAAGGTGCTATGGCTAGTTATCCTGACTATACATATGCGGGATCACGGTGCACAAATAGTGAGAACAATACTCAGTGCTTCAATCTTCCTTTTCTGCGCTTCCTAGCATCAATCCCGTTAATAAAAGTGGAGGAAGGGCAATCCGTGACGTTTCCAGAACTGTTGTTACATTTACCTGATGTGGATGTCTATGCGCAGAGAGAAAGACGCCAACAGCAAGCATTAGTATCGGAACACCTTGCCTATGCACGGAATTCTTTAGCCTCGAGGCCAGGGGCAGATGTCTTGTTTCTTTCTGGAAGATCATCTAGTTCTAAGCAACGTAAGCATGCAATTGATGCAATGTGTGCACAACTTTCCAGTTCTCAGTCTTTGCAAAAACCCATATTCAAAGGAGACGTTCTTTCAGCTGCACAATCTGTTCCAGTCATCATGCCTACAAGGTTACCACCTGGTGGAGGAGCTCATATCAATAAACAGGTCAGCATTTCTGTCACTCCAGCTAGCACACCTATTCTTAGTGAGTACGTTAGAGAATCGATTGCTGACTTGCCCCAATATGATTCTGGTAGGGCTCCAGCTCCCATTCTTACGTCAGCGTTCGAATGCTTTATCACCGCGTTGCATACCACTAACGAGACGCCCTACTATCTTCATAGACATGGACAGCTACCTCCTGGATACTCCCTTGCTTCTGAAGTAGAATCTTCCAAGACAAACATCATTCTTTCACTGAAGGATTTGGACAAATACTCCAATGTCACTAAGTCAACCCGAGATTCAACAGAGTATCCCATTGCAACCATTACATTTGTTGTCAAATTCACTAGAAAACTCATTAAAAGATTACTAAGAACGCTTTCTTCTTGCGAAAACTTGCCGTGCTTCCTTGAACAGAAGTACGAGATCAATATTAATAATCTTGCCCATCCTAACGCTTCCTCAGTGAGTTACCAGATCCTACTACGTATTCCACTGCAAATAGACCCATCCAGTTTGGTATTTCTGAAAAGTGCAAGCCAAGTAACCCGTGTGGATCGTCTAATGGGAAGTTCGGCCCCACAATACAATACTCAGTCAACCAACGGTGCCGCTATGCTCATCTCAAATTGTGCAATGAACGTTAAAGCAGAAAACGTCAATGGCTTTCTTGACGGTCTTTGGACAGATAGTTACTTTGTCAACCTTCCTCCATCCTTTGCTGGTGCAAAATCCTTTAGTTCTATATCCCTTCATAATGCTTCTGATTATCCTGTAATAGCTGTTCTTTCTGGCTTAGCTCTTCCATTCAGCTACAGGACTACTTGTCGACTGGAGCCGTTGTCTAGCCTCTTGGTGCCAATCAACTTTGCGCCCAAACGCCCAGGCCAGTATAATGGAACCTTGACCATCTCATATAGCCAAGTTATTCCAGACGAAAAGCAGGAAGCGCTTCTACTTCAGAAGCGTATGCTTGACAGGGGATTTGGGACGAAGCATGCGTTTTCTAAATCGCACTACCTTGAGCTAGACGCTCTTGAACGTCTAGCAACCACGTCACCTTCTCTGTCGACAAGACCAAAGAGTGCGAATATGTGGGATAATATGGTGGCGAAGCCTGCTGGAACAAAATGCAAGGAGCGAGCGAAATCAAGCAAGACAATCTCTCGTAACGGATTATCACACATGAAACAGTTAGCATATGGTGACACCAAGCTAATACCAGAGTGCAGCCGCTCGCAGATAATACCTCCTGGTCCCAAAAAGGCATTCTATGTCAAATTATCTGGGCTAGCACTGAATACTCCACTAATGGTGACTCAGCCACCTTCTCAACTATATAATACGCACCCAGAATATGAGCCAGAGATTCCAAAGGCCACAATCATATATCTGCAGAAAGGAACACGTACAGCCCGGATTCTTCTGACCAATGTCTCTGATAGAGCATTGCTTTATGATATTCAATTGCTAATCCCTGGGGATAGAGATTCTCACGACGCTGCATATCACATGCTAACCGTTATGCCACCAAGCGGTTGCATTGAGCCCAAGTGTCAGGCAGCTATATCCCTCCATGGAGCAAAACAGTTTCACAACGAACTTTCCATCGTGCTCAACATCTACACTAAATACAGGTCCGATGGAGATCTTATGATGGCTCTGTCTTACCGTGGACTTGTTAAGATGCACGCGTAAAGCTCACTGTTGAGCTTGATTTGTATATAGATGTTGCTACGCTTCTCTCTGCCTCTACAACCGAGAGACCGTGCTGCATGAGCTGTGAAATAGAAATGGACCCCTCTGGAAGCGGCGACCCTGCGACGTAGCTGTCTAGTCTCAGGTACCCTGCCTCATGGCTTGCCTCTATTTTGCATTCTGTGTCCATTATTGTATATGTGTCTGAAGAAGTTATTAGCCTCGGGTTAAATAGGTCTATCTTCTGATTCTCCCTTATGAGCATAGCCATCTGTCTATCGTGCTTATGCTCTTCACTCCTCTCCATGGATCGTATTGCCCGAGCACGCTCAATGGATTCTATGGTTGTGTTCGCATCTGCAATTGCCAAGTCTTCGTTATGGAGGAGTTCCTCAACTGGTGCAGGACACCGAATAGCGTTAAACCCGAACTGATCCCCGAGCAAGTCTACGTGGTAGCGAAACTTATCATCCTGAAACATTGTTTGGTCGAACTCAGGAACCTTGCTACCTCCATATCTATCAACAGAATTACTTTCATGTACCTGTGCATACTCCTGTGGAATGATCACTGGCTTGGGGAGAGACTCAAACTCTTTGTAGTAGCGTTCAAAATCATCCAGTATTGACTCCAACTCGTCTGTGCTGAATATAAACCTCCTCGAGGTGTCAGACCTTGAAGAGGACAGTTTTTCTTTTATAATCTGGTATATCTCGGATTGAAAATAGAATATGTTAGAGATTGCTGGCTGCATCTTTTGGTCAGGGTTAAGATTATTATCAAAGTGCGAGATCTGATAGCTCATCCACCTCAATCGTGATAATGTGTTATATCGTGTGACATTAAAAGATGGACACTCAAATTTTGTGATGAAGTCTCCATACGGTGTCTGGATCAGTCTCTTGAACGGAGGAGACGTTCTGATGAGGATCTGCTTCTCTGGTATCCTGGTGTGGTGTACTCCTTGTTTACCCGTCTCAACTGCCATCCCATCCTTGTTAAGTATTGGTTGAGGTGTCAGGGACTTTATTTTCCTTTCTGTTGAACGATGGGTCTTGTAGATTGGCGGTTCGATCTGTTTGGTGAAGTATGACTCTATCACAGCTGGGCTCTTTTGTTCTGTGGCGCTTTCAGCAAGAATTTGCCCAATAAAATTAGCACCCTCATCTTTCGCCGTCGTTTTCTCGATGCCCAGATAGCATGCCTTCCGTGAAACATACCCAGCATCACTTTCAGTTGGCCCGTAGCTTACTTGTTGTACTGAGTACTTTCTCAGTTCTTCACGACTCTCAGTTCCGTTGCTGTTATCATCTTCGCTGCATGACTTGATAGATTTGGTAGACTCATCTCTAAACGGAACAGTAGTAACTCCAGTAAGCTGGTCTAAAATTGGTATTCCTGGAGTTGTCTCAAGTCCAGAAGCATCAAGATAGCATGCTCTTTGTGCCTCCTTCATCGAACTACTGGCTATAGAAACCGATTCTGGTTGCAAGTCGGCATCAGCTTCTATTAATGAAGAACTGGGAGAAGGCACAGGCAGATCTGATCCTTGTATGCACTGAGTAGCCTTTTTGCGTACAGACAACGGTGTAGAAGAAAGTGAGTGAAGTGGATTACTGGTGCTGGGACTCTTAGATTTGGCGGGTGTGGCTATCTCAGAGATATCTTTGTTCTTGACCATGATATGTGGCATTTTATCCTGCGCTAACTGCATGCTATTTGCGAGTGCAGATGACGATCGTTTGGATCGAGCTGCTGATGTAATAACAGGGAGCTTGCACTTATAGGACCCTGCGCCTCTACTAAGCGGCCTTGCTATGTTGGGTGAGCTCTGAGGCACTGGGATAGGGTCTAGCATGAAGCTGGGTCTTGTACTCATAAAGGTTGTGAGGTTTACACTTAGATTTAAAATCATCGAAAAGTGCCCAGAACGGTCGGCCTATCACTTCTTTATGGCCTGTTGGCTCTTTTGGTTCTGCTGCGGTAGGATCCTTTGCTGCCTATACTGGCAGTCGCCGACATAGTTTTGAACAATGGTGTTAAGGATGGGAATGCTTCTAGAGTCTATTTGCAGAGTGAGGAGCGTCTTTGCGTAGCTAATTACATCACTACTATAATCGACTTGCCTGTAGTCAATGGACATATGCTCGTACCGATTTATTGATTTTTCTGGATATACTCGTACCAGGCCTTGGGGTTTAGATTTCGGAGACGCTCCTCGAAGTCCTGCTCTACCTCTGCCTTTATCTTGTACATTTCATTTCGCAACTTTGTGTCATATTCGTCCTGAATTTGCTCACGGAGCTTATTAAATCTAATATCGCTCTCGAGTAATTTTTGTTGGAGCTCTAAGATCTTACTTTCATATTCCAAACATTGTAATTGCTTAGTTCCATGGCAATCCTCATCTTCTTTTTCTGTATTTGGCACTCTGATGGTTTGTAACCCAGATGAGCACCTGGCCCCATCCAACTCCATGGTGATTTTATCCCAGGCTATGCTGGCGTCTGCCGAGTCCCTACCGTTTGGAAGAGTGCATAAAAATTCATCTAGGGTATCCTCTATCTTGTTTTCCTTTATCGGTAGCAGCGGATTAGTTGCCGTTGTCATGGGTGAACACTCCTCATCAAGGCCCCGTAGAGTCCGTCGTTCGTCCTCTGCAGGCCCTTCGTGAAGCTTCTTAAGCAGGTACGTTACCTTGCGTCGCTCGTTTTCAGCATCTCCTTGGGCCTTTGCGAGATCCGCTGTTAGCTTTGCCAAATGATCCTCCAAGTTCTTGCGGATATACTGCTCCTTCATCAACATCTTGCTCAGGGTAAACTGATCCTGTGTTGCAGCATCAAGCTTCTGCTGCAAGTGTTTAATTAGGTCGTCGGTAGTGGGGTCGTGCAGGTTACGGTGCTCATCATGTAAATAGGACGAGTCAATCGAAGAGTCACATATGTGCACTGACTTTTTTTCTTTTTTTGGTGAATCAATCTCAATCCCAGGGTTCGTAATGGAAGAGGGAAAAAGTGCATCCTTTAAGATGGCACGAAGCACCCCCTGAATACTCTGCTTCTTGTGTAGCTCTGGATTAATTACAGTTAAGATGGTAAGTGTTTTAGCACCGAATTCTTGGGCCTCTAGTAAAGAGAGCATGTAGTTGTGTATTTTCTTGTGGGCAGGTGAAGGCTTGGCTGCGCTGAAATATCTAGTAAAGCTTGCTTTGCGTGTTCTGGCATCAAGATACTTCAAGATAACGGTGTTGTGATCGGAAGGCCCTTTTACGCACTGGTAGTCACAGAAGATAGAGAGCCACTCGGGCGCGGATACAGGGGTTGTGTTGGACATCTTCCCGACAAACGGAGAGAGAAGGTGAATTTTCATGGGGGCTAGTTCAGCACCATCCACAGATAGCTCCAGCTGAAGGGCATACGTCTCCACACGGTCCGCTGCGAACCTGCGAACTGCCTTCACAACAGCTTCTGCAGCGCTGCGAGTTAAGCTGTCTCTTGTTAACAGTCCTATTGCTTCCTCCTCAAACATAGGTTCTTGGTCCATCGAGTGAACAAAGCGATAGCCAGTGATAGCGAGTTTATAGCCTGTTAGACGAAGTATTAGACGTAGGAGCTCGTCATGAACTGCTGTCATATCGGTTTCAAGGAAGCGGGGCACAACTAATAGGAACGTTTCTGCCACGACCCTCTTTGGCAAGAGATGGTAGAGGGCTGTGCATATCCTTTTTCTGGCAGAAGATGGGGTCCGCAGAAATGACACGTCCCCTTCCAAGAACACAGCTCCATCAGAGCACGAAATGCATGCAGCTTGAAGACTGGTTGCCTTAAGATCAGGAGGAAAGCCTGTGACTACTTGAAGCAAAACATCTGTGCTCATTTGTCCTTGTTAGCTTCTTAAAAACACGAGGTCAAAACCCATCTGCTAACGCATAAACGATAACATACAAGGCAGGCTAATCAGCAATATAGCTGAAAATTTACAGCACAGCGTGCTCTAGAGCAGACGCATAATTTATACATCAGGCCTGTCCCCTGCAAGCTGCCGCCATCGGGCTCGTTCTGCAGCTATCATAGTATCTAATTCCGCAATCTGCTCCCTTATTGCTGTATTCCGCTCGCGACATCTAGCAAGCTCTGTACTGGCCTCTCCGATTGACGAACTAATTTTAGCAAAGCTCTCTTCCCGTTTCTTTGCAACATTCCCAAAGTACGCCTCATGCTTTTCCAGAATTGCTTTGAAGGTCGATGCCAGCGTGCCCCCAAATGTCATGCCCGAAGCTGCTGCATCACTGAGCTTTGAATTGATATCATCCGAACCAGTTGACAGTGGAGGATCGCCCCTTTGGATAGATGAAACTGTAGACCTCTTTGCATCCCTGGATGGTGGAGCATTGCTGATGACACTAACTAATTCTGCGCTGGCCGCAGAAGCCCGTGCACTAGGACTGTCGCTGATGGTGCTACTTAGCGTCTTTGGCTGTCTATACTTGGAAGAAACGACCCTTTCCTCTATTAGTTTGTCAACAGGAACATATTTAGAGACGGATGGGGCTCCGGGACGGTACACCAAAACCCACGCGTCATTAGGGCTCGCCTCTGGGTTGTTGGCCTCAATGAACTGCTCCCCAGCTTCAAAAGAAAACTCGTTGCTGGGATCCTCAGCTGTATATGGCTGTGCAGCGACAAACGTACGAGAACTCATAGACTTTGACTACTGCTATTTTTGAACGACAAGGCGGCAACCCGTTGAACCAGGCTGAAGCAGACGTTGCTGCATAGCTTCACAAATGCTTACTGCGCCAACAAAACGCATATATGCATAGATATATGCACAGCCTCACGAGTATTCGCATATTTCAACAAATTTAGCCAATATGTTGCCGACACAAACAAAGCGGTCTGAGACCCAACACAAGGTCAGAGAGCATATTTACAGTGCCAATGTCAGCTCATATTTGCATTTATGGTGGTATACATCTGTGGTGCAGGACTGACGCACCCTCCTGCTCTCGGAGCCGTCAAAATAAAGGGAACGTATGTGAAGGGGGCCTGGCTGAAGAAGGAGGCTGGGGGTGGCGGGTAAGACATGGGCACATACCCGTGCGGAGCGGCGGGGTAGGGGAGATTGATGAACGATTGATTAGGCATGAGAGGAAGCAGGGTAGGGTCAGGAAGAGAGACAATCCCCCCGGGAACATACTCTATGGGGCACGGAGAAAGTTGCGAAGAAATTTGCGAAGAATGCTGTGAGGAATGTTGTGAGGAAAGTTGCGATACCTCCACTGGTGTGTTTGCTTCTGGAGCCTTGGGCTTATCTGCCTTTTTGCGCTGCGCTCTCGGTCTGTACGGTCTTCGTGATGATATCTTAACTCCGCATTCTTCTAATACCGCACGAACACTGTGGGTACGAAGCGCGTTATTGTAAGTCATACGCAACTCCTGGCGTGGATATTTCGCGCTAAAGCGCTTGTGTATCTCTTTATAAAACTCTGCGTCGATAGCTCTTCTATCACGGATACCCCCAATTATAATTGACCTGATTGCTTCTCGGTCTTCGTTTGTCATCTTCACATCCAGGATGTTCCGAGAGTGGGTCTCACGATACCAATGATAGATCCGATTGCGATCTTGGTTGAGGGCGGTTGCTATCTTGCGCCAATTGATAGGAGTTTTAATGGCATAGGCGTACAGCTTCCGTGGAGTGCGGATGAGTGTTTCTACGTCCTCAGAGACACCGCGAGTGACAATAATTTGTGAAGCAAGTTCCCGAAGGATAGACTCTTGCAGTTCCGATGACATACTAGGATAAACCATGGAATTCTGATTCTTTAATGCCTAAAACCTTTGAATTAATATAGTAGAGTAAAACCCGGACTAGAACCTTGTAGGCCGACGTATTGCTGAGCAATATGATTATCAGGCTTCTAAGTGACTCCCAGCAAAAGGCCCCGACCGATGTCTTTTAATCATGCCTACAACTATATGAACCCATCTAGGATTAAAAGAATTGCCTCTTGCCTGTAGCTAAAGTAACCGACTACTTGGAGGTAAGGCCGAGCACCTTATGGTTTGACTGTAGACCGAGTTGGACGATTAAACTAATTGCTAAAAACAACGGTCAAGAAATGCCACCCACTAGTGTTACTAACAGTAGCTACAGCAACACCAAAAATCTTTAGAACCTACATCGTATGCCAAAAATGGCAAAATCCGGGTCCAAAAAGAAAATATCTCAACGCATTTCCAGCGCTAGCGAGTCAGGGCATCCTGTACTGACTACGGAGAGGTCCTATGTAGCTTTATAATCCAGTCGGCGAGTATGTGCAAGCCCGTGATCCGGATGAGACTTTGCATTCATTCAGTAGCAAGACATGCAAACGCTTTTTGTGCTGAAGCCTTGGCGATGCATGTATTTGGAGGTGTCTTAGCTGGAAATACAGCATTATCTACGGCCGCAAAACGTAGTTGTGTCTTCGTTTGCCATGTCCTCTACCTTGCGAGGGCAGGTTTGACCACGACGTCCCGACACAGGTTCTTTAACGTTGAGCACACGTAATCTAACATGCTAATCTAACATGCGTATCCGTCAAATTCCTGCTTGTAGTGATCCTGATCCAACACACAATGAGAATCTAACATGGAATGAATTGGTTGCTGTTAGGCATAAGCAGCAGATGGTCACATTCTTTCACGGTCTGCTCCCCCAGAATCTGACATGCTAAGCGGGGCAGTTGGCGAGTCGTCAGGTGAAGATGAAAATTGCGGGATCTTCTTATGCTGCGCAACGAACCGCTGTCCTCCCTCACGCGGTCTCCTGCATTGGCCTCTAATTGTGATGAGTGCCACCAAAAGGACGTAACGATGGCAGGGATGGATACCGCGATGGGATTGGACAACGATCCTTTAAACGACTCTGAATAAAGCCTGAGCACAAAGCTTGTGAACGCTCAACGTCAACCGGAACAGTTACATACGCAGATTAACGAGAAGAACGAGATTATATATGCGTATGGGTCCAAAGGGACTGCGCCAAATTTATTTAGCTATATTTCGGATGCAAATTTCACACACCTCCAATTTACAAGGGATGGTTTTAATTCTTTTGAAACAGGATTAGAATTACTAGCTGCCAACTTCGCCTACGTGGTCAAATGCTCATGACTTCACAAGAATCTCAGATGGCGACTTTTCTTTGCCACTTCGAGTTTTCAGGAGTTCTAACCCTAATCATAGAAGGATGTCAGCCATTCAAGACATACAAGCTCTTTCAGAGATGATTGGACAGGTGCCAAACGAAGCACTAGATGAGCCTGTTACCACCAATAACACGCTGCTGATGCATGCAATACGTTTTGGATAACCGTTTTGGCCTGAAAACACTTTTTGAGACGTGCCAGAATGGCTGCCTGCGAAAGGGAAATAATCTCTAGTTTCTGTGGGAACGGTGGTCTTACGAATCTTGCGTTGCACTTTAGCAGTTGGAAGAGAAGCAGGTATGGCGAGTAATCAATATACGATTACTCTAAAATCGTCGTGTGGATAGAGCAGGACTTAAGATCCTGAGGGATTCTTCTACCACAAGAGGAGTACGTGTGAAATAGCGTGAGAAAAGCACCCTACTCATGCTATAGGCACGGAAACTACGACATGGTTGTTCCGATGGCCTCAGACTCATGGGTGTTATCAAGGGGGTCAAGATGAAGAATTCTGAAGGAGAAATTTATCCACTCACACCGGTTAAACACGGTAATCTACCCCTGGCAAACCTTTTATTAAAGGGGTTAGAACCTCTACAACCGAAAATTTCCCGAAAAAATGAAAGAGTTGAATTGGTGGCTGCAGTTCTGGCTCTAGTTCTGGTTGCCGCCCCTCGGAAGGCGTCCAGACCGGTGGTAAGGTAGTCAGCTGGTGTCAAGAGCGTCTTCTGTGAGCTTTAATATCTTCTTTATCCTGTTCTCGAACCGGAAAAGGATCGAATCGGTAGAGTACGTCGTCAAGTTGTTTTCAAGGCAATCTAGCTGCTTGTACAGACGACTGAGTTTTTGCTTGAACGCGGGCTTATTGCCGCGAAGCTCCTGGAACTTGTCGGAGAACAGGACTGTCATTATGTACCGTGAAAAGTCATAGAGCCATTGGAAGTTTTTGATATAGACAGCATCTTGCTTCTGCATAGCATCACCTGCCGTGCTGTGCACGTTCTCGTGTATATCTGACTGAATTTGCTGGTAGGGGAACTCCTTTCCGCTCTCCTGGCGAGAAAAGCACGACATAAGGGCCTTCTTGGAGAGGGTGTCTCCACCCATGCCTGCTGCAGCATGCCGGGTCCTAAGAAGCTCCCTGAAGGAATTATTCTTTTTGGTGATTTCCTCGTGCGGCATTCCCTCGTTAGAAAGTTTTTTTGCAGGCCAGTTAATGCTCTTTAGTGGTAGGCTTCGCTTTAGAGGCGGCTCGGAGTACACCCCATCTAATATGCAGGTGTTAACCATTTTTTCGTAGTCTATGATGTGTGCGTTTAGCAGGTTTCCGTGCCCAATGTCCTTCATGAGAAGCATGTTGTAGGCTTGTATGGATCGAATCAGAACAAAATTGGATGCGTTGCGGTAACAGTTATGAATGTCGTCGCCTACGCCATACGATGTGTGCGGTTGGAAGAGGGCACTGTTCCCCTGGAGCTTATCGTTAGCGTCCATCACTGTCAAGAGATTCACCGTACTTCCACCGTTGGTATCATATAGTAAATCATCTATCTTGCACCTGAAGCCTTTGGAGGGCGTGTCTGCTGACTCTTCCTGAAGGTTGTGGGAACCGAACAGCGTAATGTCTCCAACAACACTTAGAAGATTGATGTGAATGTTGTTAATATCGAATAAGTTTCTGAAGCGATCGTGCTTATTGCTGAAAGAGCGCTTGATAACGTTGAGCAGGTGTGTCATGGTCTTGCTGGAGTCGTCCATAAAGCTAGTGCTGGGCATTATGGTAGTCTTACGAGTCCCTCCAGGACCAGATGTCTTGAACTCAGTGATGTAGTTACTCTTAGCGTGATCATCAAATTCAAAGATGACGTGAAGCCAGAAGTCAGACTCAAAGTTGGGACCCTCCTTAGAAACAGTATCGTACAGGGCTTTGATGTTAGGATAAAGACGGAAGATCATGTCCTTGTAAGCAGGGCTAACGACGGCCTCCAGTGGCTTGGAGTCGGCGTCTTGGTGGACCCTGCGGATGGAGAATCCATTTAGCTCCTGAAACTCCACATGCTTATGTGGAATAAAGGAAATGACCGGCTCAAGGAGTGCTGCAGTCTGGAGCTTGGGGTTGAAGCGCATGAGCTTCTCTTGCTGGCTGTAAAGATCATAAAATTCTTCATCACTTAGTATTTTATTTTGCCCGACAAGCTGGGCATAGCTATCATGCTCCTGATCGCCTATCTGAGTAAGGATCTCCTTGATCTTACTCGCCGTATCCATAAGGGCAAGAGGATTTTATTTTTAGAAATGCTAAGGAAGAGATCCACAGCTATGAGCGGATACAAAGAAGCAGACGCTTCATTGAAGGCTGGGATAAAAACAATCTTATTATAGAAATAGATGCATATATTGGCTGACTTGTGAGACAGCTTGGGCTAAGTTACCACTAGTGAATAATAATATCCATTCAAATGTACATATTCTTTGTATGACCCATTCCCTCCTTACTGTCTTCTTTGCCCTCTTGTTGTGAGGGTTGGGGCACGGAGTTGGCAGGTACAAAATTATCTCTAATGAGCACCCAGCTGGAGAAGCTTGCAGACATTATTCTTTCGCTAGTAGGTCAAGCAGGGTTTACAACGGTGGATACAACTGCAGTGCACCGCCTCATCAAATTTGTGCAGGACTTTTGTCTTTCGGCACACAGACCAATTAGGCTGAACTTCTCCGATGTAATCGATCGCTCTCTAACGGTATTTAATGAGGAAAAGGGGATCAGGAACAAGACAGTGGAAGACTTCTTTTACTCCTTCAGCGCGCTTCTCTTTAAGACGCCCCTGGGACGCCTGGCCACTACTCGTCTTTTCGAAACCCTACAGGCTCAGCAAGGGCCAGCGAAGGGCTTTGATTCCTTGGGAGGGTTTCGCATACAGGAACCCCTAGATGTTCTCCAGATAAAACTGACTCCTGACAACCCCAGTGATACCGTCCAAGCAGCCATCATACAGGACCAAAGTTCAGAGTACACCCCATGTGGCTTTCGCAATTGCAATATTCACCCCGTTTTCACATCAACCACCGAAAACTACACACTGACCCCAGAGCACAGCATTTCAAGCGATGAAAACAACGTCACCCACAGGCCTTACACTATTGAGAATCTCTCAGATAGCTCAGATAACGATGATGCCTTGCCAATGATCCAGGCGGGGCCTTTCAAAACCGATCAAAACCCTCCCTGGAATCAGCTTCCGCTGGACCTCATTGAGGAGCCAGCCATATGCTTTCTCTGCGATAGCTTAATGGCACAGTTCTCTAAAAGCGCCCCGCTTCCAACTGTCGCATCACAATTTGACAAGATTGAGCCGTTCCTTATTCCTCCACCGACGGCCTCTCACAGAGCATTCGGTGGATATGGCCCTGCCCTTAACCAGCTCCTGGAAAGAAACTGTCAGTTGGGAACATGACTGGATTGGAGCATGAACTAAATAAAAGTGAATTGATGACCTTCCGGTCACGGCGGAGGTGTGATTGTTATTTTTGTTTGGTCTAAAGTTGCGGTCCCACCGGTCATCGCTAAATTACAGTTGTTAGTTGTAATTGTACCTCCTGGGTCTAACTTTATCTTGTCAGTGCTGGAATCTGTGACTGTGACTTGTTTGGTGAAGTTTGCTGGTACATGCACTGTTACCTTAGTTCCACTGGTGAAGTCTATGACGTCAGCATTATTGCTTTTAACTACTGTGTTGATTGCAAAGGAAGCAGGTGTACCGGGGGGATTGCTTGTTTTGGCAGCATAAACGATGTCGAAGTCGGGATGGGCTCCCAGTGAAAGGTTTGTGCTTACTGCTACTGCAGGTGCAGCCAGGCTCGTGGATATGACCGCTGTATCTATCGTTGCTGTCTTTACATTGCTAATAGTCCCCGTCACTGCTTGCCCAGCAGTTGCCACCGTGAGAAATGTAACAGAGGGTGCTCCAGCTGGACAAAGGTTGATGCTCTTTGTTATGCACAGTTCATCTATTGAATTGGAGGCAACTTGTGTGGTAACTTTGTTCGTTTTGACCTCTGCTTCTGTAATAGTAGTTGTATCCCCTGTGCCCGTTTTAGTTAATTGCAAAGTATTATCTGTAAAGGTGTATGTTCCTGGAGAACCTGATTGTGCAGCTTTGAATACTACGTTCCCTGAATTTGTGACATCTATAGTTTTAGACAAGGCAATATTACCACTTATAGTTACGCCCGTGTCAGTCACCGATAGGACCTCAGCATTTGCTCCATCCTGATAGGCTAACTTCTTTTTAGTGATTACTCCATCTGTTCCAACGACTAAGTTGTAAGGTCCATTTGGTGCTGTACCAACTGCACTAAGTTGCGTCTGCACTACTTGTGTACCGATCGTCGCAGTATCAGCGGTAATGCTCGTAGCTTTCAATGCTCCCGTGGTCAAGGTAGTCGTGGTGAGGTCGTTCAGTCCAGTTATGCTTGGGATGGTGGCAGACCCTGTAACGTCCAATTTTCCAGATACGGATAGATCGGTAAAGGTGGCGCTGGTCGCCGTGAGCTTCCCGTTTATTATCAAGTCCTGGAACGTTGCTTGGACATTGGTCATCTGCATGTCTAGGTCTGCGGTCTTGAGGTAATTGAATTGTCCGTTGCAACTGTATGTCGTCGGGGTCAAACACGCGGCTGGAGGAGCAGTCACAAAAATGCTTGAGAGGCTCTCGACGTTGAGCATGCCCCATAACCTAGACTCCATGGTAACGGAGCTCAGATAGGCATCCTTTAATAGCTCTCCTTTACGAGGATAAAAGGATGGATATCTTGTAGCACGCTCATATACAGATTTAAGCTCTGCGTAGCCATCTAATGTATCGAGGAGAGTGTCTGTTACTGGGCACGACACAATCTTGGTGGCTTGGCAGTGATTTTGAATATCAACTAGAAGACGCTTGTACTCTTCCAACGATAGATGCGTCCACTCGTTTCCGTCTAGATGGCTGCGATTCTGTGTTCCTGAGACAATCCTGCGCACCTCTGCTGTGAAATTGTCTGGTGCCAAACCCTGGAGAGTCTTCACACGGAACGTAGTGGTGACGGCAGATGGACCCAGTACTGACAAGTTGCTAACAACAAGATTTTTCACAGTTAGGGTGCTGCCGATTTGTGCGTACAAACAGATGACTAATATAAAGGTTATCAATAGCAAGATGGCCATAATTACAATGACAGTCCAAAGAAGCAGATGCCGCCCACAACACGTATCGTCGTCCACGCAGCTGCAGCACTCCTCTGCCTCACTTTGCAAGTGCTTACAGTATCCAGATGCACAGCCACCACCACAATCGCAGCCAGAGCACGGACAGCAATAGCACTGTCTATCATGTGTCAGAGGTACGTTCTTTAGAGCTTCAGAGTGCTCTAGAGTATACATGGGAGCAGGTGTGTTCGGTTTGAGGGGCTCTGTATCGGAGTACACTGTCTGCTGTGCAACAGATACAGGGGGGTTGATAGGGGAGACATGCTCTTGACGAGGTGCAGCAGAAGGAATTGCCAGCTGCTTGCGGAGCTCTGGGGCAAATGTCTTTGTATCCATGTAAAAGATGATCCGGCAGGGACCAATTCGTTGGCGAAGCTGGTTACCAGGGACGCCTTCTCTGTATGCAGCAACCTTCTTAGTCTTCAGAAATGTTAGTTCTGATACCTTATCACGTGCTTCGGCGCGCAGCGTGCTTCCCATGAAAGAGTACAGCACATAATCATCATTAGGCCCCCGTTTGTCTTGGGTGTTAATAAACACCGTGTAGCTCTCCATGCGCCTTTCTGCATCTTCCATAGAATCGTCCGTGACCTTACTACTCATGAATGCCGTGTTATAGACACGATAATCTGGAGCTAACTGCTGATGCTGATTGATAGGAAAGGATGAGTAGGACAGGGTAGTACTTACTGATAAAAGAGGGCGCTGGACGACTGTCAAAAGACCTGTAGCCGCGCACACTGGGCATGGGATGGATTGGATGTTGAAATTGAGTACTGCAGTCCCGCTAGTGTCGAATTGGAGGAAGTTGAGCAAAGTATGATGAGATAGCTTCCCACAACCACCACAGCGGAAGCTATGGTCAAACATATTTGTCCTGAGGGTTTCTGGGAGTGAATGCACTAACTTGGAGATGACTCGTTCGTGTTGTTCAGCAGATTCTATCGGAGAAAGATCTAAATGTGAAACTAGGGGAGCCAGAGACAGAAGAACGTCATCTGCAGAAGCGTTATCACACACAGACTGCAGCAGGCTATACCAAATTCTAGCAGCTGGGGTATGATCCCCGGCAACATCTGTCTGAACGAGAAGATGATCGCCGCCGTGAATCTCAATTGTGTTGACGAGAACCCGAAAGAACCCACCCAAAATGCCCTGTTCATCCCCTGTAAGTGTGAATGTGCGTAGGATTCGGGTATTCGCCGCAGTACTTGCTCTGGAATGACTGAACATGACTAAATAAAACGCAAATTCACTAGTTCTACTCTTGACTACCTCTGAAAAGGCCCCTTCAAGTGTGTTTTCGTTACTAGACTCCTCTTCATTGAAGAGGCTTTGGTCGTATTCAACATTCTTAAGAGACAGCCCCATGAAAGATGTTATCCGTGTAAAGGTTGTGAAGCTGTGCAGAATATTAAAGTGAGAGATACCGTACTCCACAATCCTGTCATCAACGTACTGATCTGGAACGCCGTCATTGAGCATACTACTGAGGATGACAGTCCCGTCGCCCTGGCCCGTCACAAATGTTGGAATCTGGTCTAGAAGTTCAGAGTACTCCTGTATTGGTTTGGGGTACACAACGTGTATAGGAGTTTGTCGCCCGTAGGTTAATAAACTGATGTACCGAAAATCCTTTGGATTGGCTGGATAGACAATAGGCTTGACTTGCCGCTGAGCAGAGAAGCTCCAGCACTTATCAAATTTAGGAAATATCAGGGCGTCTAGGGACCCCTTCACCGAAACCTTATCTATTAGCTCTGCTATGGGGCGCTCTGAAACAGATTTGCGAAGGGTCAGATCAGACCACGGATTTGCATAGGGGATTAGGATGATACGGTCTTTTTCTTTGTCCTTTTTCCCTGGTGTGCCGGTCAGATCCAGGTTAGAGATTTCTTCTGTGCTGGGAGCATACTCCATGATTTCCGAGGCTCTATCAGACAAGGACAGGGAAGTACGTCTGCTCGTACGTTTGGAGTTTCCCCGAGACTCCTTGTCTGGTCTCGGCTTGGCAGCAGCTTTTCCGTGAGTATCAGAAGTCGAGTCGGCACTTTTCACTCGCTTTTTATGATTAGCTCTACAATGCTTAGAGTCACTATATGCACTCCCCGTGCTCGACACTATATTGTCAGTTTCCTCTGTAAAGCTGTTCGAGCCGAGCTCTGCACAACTATCAACGTCCATGCTATCTTCTTCCCCAGTAATATGGGTAAAGGAATGGTCTTGCGAGCCCTGATTGTCTGTGTAGCCATCAGTGTTAGGCGATGAACTTGAGGAGTTATAGTTGATAAACTTCTCTACTACAGATGTCCTTGCATCTGTTGATGCACGCCTGGCCTTAACATAGGCCGAGGAGACGCGCTCCTTCACGTAGATGGACGACGGATCCATCTTCTTTACAATCGATGCTATGCTGTCTGGGGTGTCGTTGAGGAGCACACCCTTTGACAGATGTTTCGGTTCGCCTGTCTCTACCTTCTTTATCTTTTTCTCCCGTCGTAGCTTCGGAAGATCTGGGTAGTTCAATATGCACTTTTTTGACTTGACTATTCGTCCGTTGTAGTTGATGTGATGCGGTATATTTTCATACTCTGCTGCTAGCTCATCCATCAACATGGTTATCTCGCTATACCGTCGCAGGTGAGGATACTCAGACCAACGTATAACGCGCCCGCTGGTACCGTGGAATCCACCAGAGGTCTCTTTGTAGAAGGTCAAGAAGTCACTATCTTCTTTTATAGTAACAGTGTTCCCTTTGAAAATAAAATCAGGGTGAGAAAATATGTTCGCTAGCTTTCTGGTCTCATACGATCGAGGAATCACGGATCCATGTTCGTTAGAGTAGGTAACCCATGGAGAGTAGCATTCCCATGAAAAGATTGGGTTTCCTGTGTGCTGATTTTGAACAACGCTGAGCTCATGATCGTTAACCAATTGGAAGGATGAACTGGTAATGGATAGCGAATTCTGTTGGAGTGGACGTACTTTAATTGGCGAAAGCTCTGGCTCTGTCGTATTAGTCCTAGGGTCTGTCTCTTCACTACCGTTTGTCACGTGTGTGTCCAGTACGTCAGTAAAATCATCTGTTTGCCCTGGTAGCCTTTGTAAAGTATTCTCTTCCTTTGGCTGAAGAGAACCCGGCATTGTCAGTGAAGTGTTGTCATAGTGGATCATTATGGAATCAAGCAGTGACCCACAGTTAATATCTAGTTGATAGATGGTAGCATCTTGTTGCAAAGGACAATTTTTATACTGATGCTCTGAACTTACGGCGAGAATGGTAGCTGTTGCGCCCTGTGGCAATGAGGTTGTAGGGACCTCTACAATTGTGGTACGTGGACTCTCCTCCGCTGGCACAACGTCCTCGATTATCTTGGTCAGAGCAGAGGCATACTTGAAGTCATAAAGAGAACTAACAACACCTATTTCCTCTGGCGTTGCGAGTGCTTCCAGCTTCTTGAAAGCACGATTGAACGCATACTCTGGGAACAGGGTTCCACGACGACGCTTTTTTAAATGCAGAACCCCGTTGATTTCTATTTGCACGGCCTTTCTATGACAGCAATTTTGAAGAAGCGTTAGCGACCTCTCCACATCTTTTGTCAAAAGAGACGGGTCCTGCTGAATTTTCTCCAGAATACAGTATGCAAGATTGGGCATTTTCTTCCTGTATGGAGTAAGATTCAAATGTATCTTAAATAGAGGTTGCTTTTCATTGTGCTGTGAGTCTGCAGAGTCCTTCATAAGAGTGGCTAGCTCTGTGCAAGTATCACTAGTAGCGTCGATATTGCTAGTAACGTCACTGCCTGGATCATAATTATTGCTGTCGTTATCACCGCCACTACTAGTACGCGGACAGAGCAGGCGCTTGACGTATATGTTAGTGCTGATGAACTTACTGCTGCAGGGGCTGCCCCCCGGACGTCCTGCCATAGAGATGATGGAGCCCGACGCGCCTTGTATCCCTCGCCCACAAGACATAGGTATAGGAAGCCGGAGACAATAGCCTGTTAGAAATCCTGCCATAGAATAACCACCCACTCCGTCAAATGGGACACTGATTGCTGCAAACCGTGAAATATCGTCATTCCAGTCGGGGTACGTCTGCATGTATGCCTGAACTACCAACCCTCCGAGTGAATGCGCAATTACCGTCAATCTCTGGCCACCGTTGCGACACCGCATGGCCTTGATACATTTTCGTAGATCCTCCTGAAGTTTGGGGTGTCCGATCTCCTGTCGCCAGTCATAGGAAAATGCGTCTATAGTGACGCCCTCCTCATAACCGCAATACTTCTTGAACCATTGCAGTAATGTTTCATAATAGTACCCTATTCGCCGCTTACGCAGCATGCGCTCGAACCCTTTGAGTGTGAGTAAACGACGGGCCCCCTCGAGCCCCGGGTAAGGCGTAACATCGACATACTTCGCAACATGTGATTCTACCCACAAAGTTTCTAAATCTGGGGCACACCACAAGTCGTTGGCCACCTTCGTGGCTATCATCATCCGCGGAATAATCTGAGAATTAACCCATGCATCTTCTGCGTGAGCTGATATGCGTGATTTGGCACGCATTTTACTTCCGACTGTTCCATGAATGAGTAATACCGGCGGCGGCTTTGTTACCATGTATTAAACTTTTTATCAACGATATCCATGTACTACATTTTCAACTTCATATGAAATCCAAAGATAGATATAAGCAAACTAGTAGGTAGCATACCTCATTCTTAAGGCAGTGTTCATAACATCATATAAAGACAGGACACTACGCTAGACATTAATCTATGGGATTATTGCTTAGTTCATCGCGAAAATGAACATAATCTAGGCATCAATTCCTCTTGTGGCCAGCTCAATCTTGCATATATTTAAGCAGGAAGCATGATTTGAGGGCTGATTTGCTTTTCAGTTAAGTCTCTTTGATTTTCGGAGCTAGTGAAATGCTCTACCTTCTGCTTTTGCTCCCTTCTAGCTTTCTACTAAACACTTTCCCAAACACCCCGTGCCTCAGCAGTGTCCGTATAGTGGTTCGTGAAGAGGATCTGTGTTTTGAGGTCTCCCATGCATCTTCCCCAGAATGCCCTCTCAATGGACTGGACACTGCCACCGCTAAGCTTCGAGTGATGCCATACAATGAATCCAAGAGTGCATATGTAATAAATCTCGGAACTGTCCCCATGAGCGTCAGCAAGTTCTGTCACCCGGGGCGGCACTACGATGTCCTCGAATCGAAGCTTCTGTTTTCTTTAGACAATGAAGAATGGCTTGTGTGCAAGAAAAAATCCCTCAAGATCCTCAAGACCATCTTCAGGGAGGGAACCGGCCAACAAGTCGATGAAACCATGTCAGGTAAAGTCCGTCGAAGCATATGGTACGAGCCTATCGATGGCTCAGCTCCCCAGGCAGTACTGATGCAGATGGAAGATGATGATTGGAGCTACTACGACTTCAAATTCAGTCCGGTACCTGGCATTCATGACGCTATCCTGACGATGCGAGTGGGTGAAGGGGCAGTATTCTACATTCCGTACCAAGAGGCGTTCGGGGAGCATGGCTCAGACACAATACCCCCTAGAGCCCAGGTGATCATGCGATTCGAGATCTTCGAGGCATTTCCCAGCACAGAGGAGGAGATCATATATGAACAGCCCCGTAATGACGAGGATGACGATTAGTAAATTTACATTAGCGGAATAGCTGTGAAAGGTGCTCATGCAGTGTACCGAGAGATGCTGAACAAGGCTAGGACAGGGGGCTGATATAATTATTTAAATCATAATATAGCAATCTTCGCAGATTGACAATTGGATTCAATTTTAAAGGAAATCTGAATTTCTATTTAATTTCCTAAGGTCAGAGAAGGACTGACTCTTGGTTTCCCGAGAACCACCCTCTACATTTATACTCTGTTTGCCTGAGGCCTGTAGCTTCTCTATGCATTTCTGAATATCTGCCCGCGAACCCGTAACTGACCGGGGCTTCTGGATTCTTATCTTCTCCAGCTTGACATCCGTTATAGGCTTGAACAAGCCGGTTCCATAAAAAATACTAACACGCTCAGAAGTACTATCATGAAGAGAGGAACGTATATCATCGTCCATCAAATCACTAATATAGCACCGTTGCAGCAAGTCTGGAGCAGATAAAATTCTCCGTGTGACTAAGGGAGCCTGTAAGGATCTGTTTTCACAAAGGGATAGTCTACAACGTGGTGGGGACGCCTTTGCTAGAGGTGCACTCCTTATTGGAGTAGAGAAAATTGGAGATAAAGTTGTAGTGTTGATACTTATTGCACAGGCTTCGGGATCTAATGCAACTGTCAAGTGTGGGTCGGCTGCCCACGCTCCGTGGCCATCAAAGGCATCTATGGACGCTAATGAGCTAACCGTGTGGACGCTACCCTCTGTCCATGCAATTCGATCAGAGGCGCTGTCTGTGGGTCGATATCGCATTGGGGTAGGCTTCATGTTAAAGCGCCGAGTGGCCCGGTATGGTACTCTATGGTCAGATCTGCCCGTAACCTCAACTGCCCAATCCGGTGGCTTGAGTAACTGGTCACGATCACCCAAACAAGAGCTCTGGTCGGTTATTACACAGGTGGTACTCTTATGTGTCTGCTCTGGGCATCCAGCTGATTCCTTGCCAGCAATGTGTTTTGAGGCAGTCAAGTAGCTGTCAGAAAGTGAATGATTCTTACACTCCTTATCTTTAGACATTTCCTTCTTGTAAGGTGAGGTAGCCAGATCAACATTGGGCGCCATGCTGCTTGCTCTTGTGTCTGTGGAAACGTCAAGGTCAACGACAGGATCAATCTTGACAACAGCCCCTTTACTGCCTCCTCCAGGTCCATGCTTGTGCCTCAGAAGCTCCTTGACAGATAGAGGCGTTGGAGCAATGCACGTGGTAACAGATTCACTATCTATTACAGGAGTGGGGTTAATCTGGGGAACCGCTAGTGACGATGCATTGCAGTAGAAGGTCTGAAGTGAGGATGGGTTAGTTGCGTTGCGGTGTGATTCGGTCCTAATGCTTGCAGATGCAGTGTGGGTACCAATATTAGGGTTGGTGTGTTCTAAGAATTGAGAGTCAATACTGGCAACAGAAACGCCTTTGCTTAAGGTGCTGGAGGGCAATCTCTTGGGGGACTTTAGCTGTCCACTGCCTCTGTTACTTTCACTTTCTGGTCCTGTTGATTGGCAGAGAGAGCTGAGCTTAGACGCCCGTACACTCTTCTTTTCCTTCTTCTTTAGAAGCTGTTTGCTCTCGGACACACTGATGTTGGGAGGTACTGAATCTGTCACGGAACTTAGCTTTAATGCAGTGGAAGACTTATTTGGCTCTAATATTCCAGACTCTATGGGTTGCAATGAGGCATCAAGTGTGTGAGGAACGCGTACAAGGGTTTTAAACGCGGGTGATAGGCATATATCATCTTCTGTTGATCTGCTCTGGTCTGACGGGGTCTCTCCTCTTTGCAAAGGTGCCAGATCATCTACTTTCATAGGAGGAGACATCTCTCGATGCTCGAGTACGTGGCTTACAGATGGTGTTGTTGCTTCTGGATACTGGGAAACGAGCTCTGTAGATACGGTATTGAGCAGGAAGACATCCGGCCCCAACTCTGATACCATGTCTTCCTCTGTGTTGAAGTCAGCTGTGTTATCTATTTTCCTTTCATTACTCCCTAAATCTATAGTGCCAGGCTGGTCATTTTCTGCTTGAATAGACTCTATTACTTGCTTGAGAGTCATCGGAGACTTCTGGGGCGGTGATATATGTAACTTGGTAGGCTTCTCCTTTTCACCTTCCGGTTCCCAAAAGTGGTTCTTCTTCGTCGCCGAATGAATAGCCATACGAGAGCGTATCGCCCGATCCATTGTAGCCCCCGGAAATGCTTGCTTGCTAAGGTGCTGAGGAGATCCAAACTGGGTGACTACTACAGGGGTGATTGCTGTTCCTTGGAGTGATGGCAATTGAAGACTGACCTTCACAGGATGCCTTTGCGCTGCTACATGCGCTGCTGCTGCAGTTCCTGCAGCTGTATGACTAGAAACGTGTCCGCTGCGTAAATGCTCACGAACAATCTCGGATTGAGGGATCTGGTAATCTCCAGGAGAGGTCTGCAGACCCGGATGTGAGGTGCCTGCCGGAGTAATACGAATTGATGCTGGAACTCGTTGTGAGAGAGCATTCCCATGTGACCGTGACACTGTTTGCGGAAGTAAGCGAGTTGCGTCGATAGTGTTAACAGTCTTGGTGGTATTCCCTCGCATGATACCCTGTCGGTCTAATGAACGTGCTGCGGCATATGAGTTGGTAGTGTGTTCACCTGATTCTAAAACCGACAGGGTGGTGATGTAAGAGCTGCTGTCTCCTTTGGTAGAATCAAATGTACTTGAAAGTGGATTGATAAGTGATACTCCGTGCTTAGAGCGAAAATGAGGCGCACTTCCGTACGCCTTCGTGTATCCCTGTGTAGTTCCAGATGCATACGGCGTTTTCACTGCACTCACAGGGCCTGCCTTCTTCCCTTGCATCTCAGCAATGGACAGAAGTAAGTGTGATTCCCCGGACGCAGATCTCCCAGGGTCCTGGTTGGTTGACGCAACTATAGCGTCATCCAGAGCAGCAAACCTGAATGGCATTACTCTAAACGAGCTGCCGCGAAAATCCGGTGCTTTTTTCAAGCGATGATTTACTCATTTCAGGTCAGCGAAAAACGCCTGCCGCCTAGCTTTCACCTTGTTACGGTCAAACGTATTGTTCTGTATTGTTGTTTTCAGCGAGGGCTCGGGAGCTGAAGCCTTAACCTTGTTAAAGAATTGCGCCATCTCGCTGTCTGTTGTGGACGATTCATCCTTTGGAAGTTCATCATCTCTTAGGGGTGCCTCTAGCACACCCTTTAACGGTATTGGGCCACCGTCTGAAGAATCCGAGCAATCTGGGTTTTGGGGAATTCCATCTCGTATTGGTGTAGTGGAATCATTGCGATCATCGGAGGTGTCTGTAGACGGAGCTCGGACGTACTTGTGACGAGATTCCTCGTCGAGAAGATCTATCTCTTCCGAATCTGAGCATTGCTCATCCTCACTAATTGGACCCGGGTCTTCTTGCTTCTCAACCAAATCGTACACCCACTTGGCATCCATCATGTAGAAAACATCACTGAAGTGCTCTGCAATAGTCAGCAGGCTCTTATCTTCCGATAGCTCCATAACAGATACTGCTCCTTTGAACTCGCTACAAAATACCCCATAGTGTATGGGTGGGTACAAACCAACAAGATGCACCACCCCGTCACTAGCCCCCAACAAGTAGTAGTTCCGGTACAACCGTATGACACTCTCTATGCTCTCCGATGTCGTCCTCAACTTATTCACTGGGAGACCGATGTCTAGCACCGAGAACAACAGGACACTGCCTTCAGATGTACCGCAATAGATATAGCGCTCGTTTGGGTCCATTATCATGCATGTCAAGCTAAATTCCTCGGGGGATGAGTTGTCCTTCAACCGAAAGACGGGATACTGCTGCTTTCTGCTCATTTTTCGAACCAATGATGAACGGTCATTGTGATCACCGTTCAGGATGTCGATGTCCTGACTAGGGTCTTGGTCTGCACCTCTTTTAGACTTGCTATTGTTCTTACCCTTCCCGATCTCATAACAGTACAGCGTGCCGTCAGCTGACGACGCATATAGCTTGGACTGAAACTCTGACCATGCAAAGCCAGTAATGTAGTCCCCCGCGTCGCCCAACGACTGTAGTATCTTCAGGTCGGAGTAGTTGTTGCACACATTAATAATATGCACATAGCCCTCATCATCGCCGGCAGCGAGGTACAGATGCTCCAGATAGACGAAGACCTCGAGGCAGGAGATGGGATGCTTACAAAGCCTCTTCTTCATTAGAATAACCTCAAAGGTGCATGCGGAAATGGGATCATCGCGTCCTCTGAAATCGGTTGCAGTGGTAGCAGTGGCAACAAGCTTCTCTGCACACTCTTCTATGTCGCTGGTCCCTACTATTTGAGTGATACTGATGCCTCCTCCGCTGTCAGTGGAGATCAGCGTCACATCATCCAGCCATTTCAGAGCCCGTATGGCGTCATTATTAGCCTTACAGGATAAGAGAAGCTGTGTTCCTGGAAAGTACTTGTTATAGTAGTCAAATTCATCTTCGTCGAACGAAATGCTCGACGAAATCTCCTCACCTGGGACGATCTGCCGTATGAAAATACTTCCAAACGCTGTTCCGTAGGCAAAGATCTGAGAATTAGAGGAGTAGACCATGGCGGTTATGGTTCCCTCTACCTGTTGTGCCAATAGTTTCTCAGCCATGTCAGGCTACTTATGTGTTATGCGGTGTTGTGCGTGATTAACAACAGTAAGCAATTGGAAATTAAAATTGAATTTAGCATTACATTGCATTTTGCAATAAAATTAGAAATCGAAGGCCGCTCAACCGTCGAGAACGATAAGGAGCACGCCGGTGAAGCCAGTACTTTCGCCAAAAACTCGACGGGAGAAGTAATGTGTTTATTTTTGTCAGACTATTTTTTGATAGCACAATCAGTGGCTAAGTAGTCACAGGAAAAAAAATGCCAAAGATTAATGAACTCGAGTGGAACACCGCCCTAGCATTCGCCAACGTTGACGTAGACCAAGTTGCAAAGGCCGATGCCAACAACATCTTTAAGCTCACTCAGGAGATTGAGGCACTCGTCAAAGAGGACAACGCGAGCTTGGCCAAATTCAAGATCAAGGAGGTTGGGAACCTGAAGGACCGCACGGCCGTCCTAAATATGGTGAAGATGTATCTCTCTACAGTCAAGCAGGGGCTTTCGTCCATCAAAAAGTTCACCGAGAAGGAGCTTAACGAGCAGCTCATCGTCGCCATGCAGTCAATCATCCTTGCGTCCAGATCTCTTCCTTGCGAGAAGCTTCACCCAGTAGTCAAGCTGTTCGGGTCCATCTATGGCAAAAAGTTCATTGACCAGGCCCTCAGACTACCCTCGTCCGATCAGGCTGGCGGAAAGGATGCAAACCCCAAAGATCCTCTAACAAAGGCTGATGACCAGCTCCGGTTCCTTCTCTTCCAGAACGAGCTGACGTCGGAGAGGGTCGATTTGGAGTACAACAAGATACGGATGCGTGTTATGAAAATCCCGCGACAGCAGGTGCCTGCTCCCGTCCCAGTGGCCTCCGGACCATCCGGGGCAGGGCCTATCGATTCTCTGATGCCCAGCAGCGGCGGCGGCGATGCCTTCAATGGCAATGGTGGCGATGCCGGCAATATGGATTCTGACGGAGGTATGCCATCCCTTCTCCCCATCCCTGTATCCAATGACGACTACAATGAAACGTGTTTCCCTCCTGTTAATAATAACGTGGACGATCCGTTTCCCACAAGGGATATCTGTCAGATAGACAACAAATCAGATGCATTCAGTGCTGGGCCTGCTAACCCAGACCCCTCTCCAGATGACAAGCCCCTAACAATGGACTCCTCCATCCAGGACATGCTCAGAAAGCTGAACAACTACTGATCTCTTCGTTTTATTAGGTAAATTGATTGATTTTTTTGGCCCAAAATTCAAAAATTCAAAAATTTGGAAATTCAAAAATTCAAAAATTCAAAAATTTGGAAATTCAAAAATTTGGAAATTTGGAAATTTGGAAATTCAAAAATTTGGAAATTTGGAAATTTGAGCCAGATAAAAAAACAAGCCTCATGGACAACAAGAGCATCTGCTCCAAGTTCAACAACAGGTTCATAGTGAACGACAATCCGGGAGGCGATGATTCACAGATAATTTTGAGCTCGGAGAAGGTCAACGTTTTGGACCTCTTCCAGGGAGACTACGTGCGGCTTAAGGGGCGCTTTGGGAAAACCACCCACGCTATGGTCCAGTCGAGGGAGGATGTTGACAAGATAGTGGTTCTGATGAACAAAACCATGCGTGCCAATCTGGGGGTCAATCTCGGCGATATCGTCATCCTGTACCCTGCCCAAAACCTTCCTTATCACAAGCGCATCAAGGTGATACCCTTCGAGCAGGATCTCGAGGGGCTCAATATTGCAGGATATACTGTGAAGCAGGGCGAGGACGGCAAGCCTGCCCCGGCGCCCTTCCCCGGTCCCACGTACGACCTGTTTGACATTTGCATTGCGCCATACTTCAAGGACAAGTGCCGCCCCGTTACTGAGGGTAATACGTTTAAAGTCATGACGACTAGCTTGCCCGTAAACCGCGAGATAGAGTTTAAGGTGGTTCTTACAGACCCCTCTCCAGCGTGCATCGTCATGGATGGGGGCGAGATCTTCTATGAGGGCGAGCCCATAGATAGAGATGAGCACGAGCGCGAGAATACAAAGGTAGGCTACTCAGACCTTGGAGGCCTCGGGAAGGAGCTGGGAATGATCAGGGAACAAATTGAGCTTCCTCTACGCCACCCAGAGCTCTTCAAGTACCTCGGTGTCAAGCCTCCTCGGGGAATTCTTCTCACGGGTCCCCCAGGCTGCGGTAAGACCACTATCGGAAAGGCCATCGCAAACGAGGCTGGGGCGTACTTCTTTTTACTAAACGGTGCTGAGATCATGTCATCCATGGCTGGCGAGTCCGAGAAGAACCTGCGCAAGGCGTTCGACATTTGCGAGCAGGAAGCCGAGAAGTCTGCAAAGGAAAATGATGGTGTGGGGTGCGCTATTCTGTTCATTGACGAAATTGACTGTATTGCCGGAAACCGTGCCGAGAGCAAGGGCGAGGTTGAGAAGCGTGTCGTTTCCCAGTTGTTGACCCTCATGGATGGGATCAAGCCCCGCTCCAACGTCATCGTCCTCGCTGCCACGAACAGACCTAATGTCATTGACCCCGCTCTGCGCAGGTTTGGAAGGTTTGACAGAGAGATACAGATAAATGTTCCCGACGAGAACGGGCGTCTGGAGATCCTCTCCATCCACACCCGCAAGCTAAAGCTCCATCCGGACGGCGTGGATATTGTCCGCATTGCGAATGAGACAAACGGGTACGTCGGTGCTGACTTGGCCCAGATATGCACGGAAGCTGCGATGATGTGCGTCCGTGAATCTATGGAGATGGTGCTAGATATGGAGAGTGAGGAGAAGCTGACCGATGAGCAGCTCAATAAGATCTTCATCACTGATAGCCACTTTACGGCTGCAATTTCGAAGGTCACACCGAGTACGCTTCGCGAGACCGTTATTGAGATGCCCACAGTCACCTGGGATGACATTGGCGGTCTTGAGCACACAAAGAGAGAGCTCATCGAGCTTATTCAATATCCCATCCGCTATAAGGAGAAGTATCAACAGATGGGCATCGAGCCTTCCCGTGGTGCTCTTCTGTGGGGTCCTCCTGGTACAGGAAAGTCCCTTCTTGCAAAAGCAATTGCCAATGAGTGTGGCTGCAATTATATAAGCATTAAGGGTCCGGAGCTCTTGTCGAAGTGGGTCGGCGAGTCAGAGCAGAACATTAGGAATATCTTCGACAAGGCCAGGCAGGCTGCCCCGTGCGTCCTCTTCTTCGATGAGATTGAGTCCATTACCCAACATCGTGGAACGTCTGCTAGCGGAGGCGGAGAGGTCACTGATCGGATGCTCAACCAAATCCTCACGGAGCTCGACGGTGTTGGTGTGCGTAAGGACGTCTTTATAATCGGAGCCACAAATAGGCCAGATACGATTGACTCCGCTCTTATGCGTCCCGGCCGTCTTGACACGCTTATCTACATCCCGCTACCAGATTATCCGTCGAGAGTTGCCGTCCTCAAGGCACACCTCCGAAAGTCAAAGGTTAACGAAAAGGAGGTTTCTCTTGAGCAGATAGCGCAGGTCACGGACGGATACTCCGGTGCAGATCTGGCAGAGATATGCAGCCGCGCCTGCAAGTATTCCATCCGTGAGAATGTCGAGGGCTTTTCAAGGGCCATGTCGGCCTTTGAATCTATGAAGAAGTCGTGGCTCGATAGCCACGGCGGCGTTCTGACACCGGAAAAGGAGAAGGAGTTTGCTGAGCACGAAGAGAAGATCTCTGAGCGCTTCTCTGACACGAGCATTTCTGGACGCCACTTCGAACAAGCGATCAGAGAGAGCAGGAAGAGCATCTCTGAGGAGGAGATGAGACGCTTCGAGGTCTTTAAGCAGAGCTACAGTGGGGGAATTGGCGACGGCCTCGGGTCGATGGGCAACGCAGGCCGCAGAAACGCAAACCCCGCCATCGCGAACTTCTCGTTCAAGGTAGATGGTCAGACAGGAGCTCGCCAACAACCCCAGGGCGCTGTCCGATCAAAGGCTGGGGCAGGAAACGAGGCAGATATGTTTTAAAGACGTATCCAAGGCCAGTAAATAGGTGTTGGTTTTCTACAGGCCTGCAACGGCAACCAAAAATATGCTTTTGCTCGGTTTACTCTCCGCGTCCTACCTTTTTATATTCTACAAGCCTGCTTCCTTCGTTGCCGATGAAACTGCGTTTGCAGATCTACAGAGGATCGGCCAGCAAAGCTGCTTAAACAGCGCTAGTCCATCCCCCATGCCACAGGGGTTCCAAACCCGGTATGAGAAGGATATCACCGCTGAAGCAGCCAAGTGCCAAAACACATGTCAAGTAAGTGGCGGAGCTCCTTGGACTCAGTATAATAATATAAATAACCCCGATCACCTATTATATAATGTTATGTGCATCTATCTAATGGCCCTAGCCTATAAATGCCCTCAGTCCACGCACAACTCAGCAGATAGCTATAGGAGCGCGATAGAATACGCAGTAAAGTATCTAGCAGACCACGGACTTCAGACAACATATTTAACTCAAGATACCAATACAACTAGGACTCTAATTCTTGCTGTGGAGGTCCCCACTTATATCTCTAAATTTCTTCCATTACTTGTGGAAGCGTCATCCTCTCCATCACAGTCATCTGATATGCAAACTCACTTGCTGAAGATAACAGAAAACATATTTTCATACGTCCCACAATTCACTGATTTGGCAAGCTGTTCAGCCAGGTCAAATGTGTGGAGTGACCCGGCCAAGTGCCCATACTCAGGTGTTCAGCTGGAAGCGTTTCTAAATAGTATATTCCTTACTCTAAACAAGTTTATCCAAGATAAAGTCAACACCCTAGGAAATGCGGAGTCCCTGGCGGCATACTTTCGACAAATGCCTACAAACTACTCCCAAACCAGCAATTATTACGTCGATGGCTACCGACTGGACTCGTCCATAGATCTGTACTACTCCATGCCAATGCAGGGCAGCACAGCATTTGACATTATCTTAGAGACTCTGCGTGCTGTGGAATACTTTGGGTCTGAGGAGAACGAGTGCGGCTCACGAATATTGGCGACGCTTTACTCTTTCTTCAATCACTCCATTCTTCCATACATGCAGCAATGCAGGCTCTCCGATGCCATTGCCGGTGCACTGGTGGTCGACGGAGTTCTTGATGGGCATGCTCGCCACGAGATCGCCATAGCGTTGTTTGCTCACATGCACGTACTAGCTGTTTCTAAGGGGTACATACCCAATTCATTGCCTGAAAATGTAACTGCTCTACTGAATGCGTTCTCGTACCAGGCCAATCAGTGTTTTTCAGCATCTTCTGCAAAGCTTCCCGCTAAATTTGCATATGGATGTCATTGTGCACTTAGTTTACTTGGGATCAATGCCGTCGCACATTATCATGCAGACGACTTGAAATCAAAGCGGACAGGGGTCCTCTGGCAGCCGTATGCTGACACTATTTCGATAGTGACCAAGGATCTCGACATCGTGTACGCGATGAGCTCTTACAAAACAGCATACTACAATTGTATTAACAACACAAATCGTCGTGGGTGGTATCAGAGGGCAGGACACCAATACGTTTATCCAAAAGAGCATCCTAACAAGTACATTAATTATTATCCCTCAATGGAGACCTTTGCATATCAGGGCGTTGTTGCAGCCAGGGCGCAACTTAAGGATTGTCAGTACCAAAATAACAAGGCAAGTGATAAGCGTGGGTCTACCAACGCCGGATTGGTTACCGTTGATACTGATGCAGCAATCGTCTACGAGCACATCCATCCTGATACCCGCAATGCATACTTAAAGCTCTTCTACCTTGAGGAGGCGGCAAACGCGGACGTGAAGAACACTTTCAGCAACAATGTCGCCATTCATACTCTTCTACTCTCCAATATGACTGCAGCTAATCCGTCTACCCAAATACATGATAACATACTCGCAATCCCTCTTGGCAGCACAAAGGCTGTCGTTAGTGTGTTCTCTCTCGCAGGACAAAGAGTAGACACAGCCCCTGGAGACGATTGGACAAACACGGACAGCGTGAAGTATGCATACGTCAAACTATCGTTTCCAGCCGATCAAGGGGCAGCTGACCAAAGCCCCACGCCCTCGCGTGGCCCAGAGGCCACATCCTATGTCACAGGGGTGTGCTTCCATGCCTTCAGTGGGCCAGTAAAGGGACGCATCAAAGAGCTATCAGGGAGCTATGCTGAGCAAGGAGGTGTCTTACCACCAGATTCTTCATCAAGTAATGTAAGGCAATACTTTTTGCAACTTCGGATGCGAGTTATGCCGGGCACGGAGTCCTCAAGTAAGTTAGCAATCTACACGTACTTTCCACGGCTCAGCTCCAGTGTTACAGAGACCGAGTTCAACAAGCTGTGTTCACAGTACAATGGCTCAGTATTCATCAATGGGCAACCAAATCCATCAAGCTACACATATCAGCAGATCGAGAACGTGCACTTTATCGTTGGAAAGTCCATTGCAAAGAGATATGTGGAGTTTCACGCCATGGCTTTCCTGAAGCCATCAGAGAGCGTGTTTTACCGAAATGCCACACTTCAGGCGAAGAGTACCGGATTCGTTGCCTTCAAAGCACGCGAGCGCACGCTGCAAATGTCGCTGGTGGACGTTACCCAGGACAGGCGAGCCGTGAACATGACCCTCTTTAATCTGTCTATTTACGACTTCCTGGAGACCAGCTGTAATCCCAAGAATGCCGATGATCAGATACAGCTCTCTGTTCCAGGAATCAACGCCGTATTCTGCTCATGCAAGATGACCTTCAAGCTTACCTCATCCGAAGAGCATGCGTTATTCATGCATAAGGTGACAATTGCCTCTGTGACCGTAACGATTTTAATAGCTATTGCGGTCATCATTACCATAGTTGTTATTTTGATCATGAAGAAGCGGTTAAAAGGCGGAGAGAAACGTCTACGAAAGGTCCGTGAGAGGAAACAGATAACTGACGCTCAGATACGCTCAGATGCGGTAATAAAGAAGATGGCCAGGCACAGAGGAGAGAAGGAGCCACAGGACAAAACGTATCTGGACAACAATTTCCAGGATTCGTTCAGCGCTGATAAGATAGCTGACCTGGCAGAGACAATGTTTAGTAGAGGTGGCTTGGGAGAGAGCTACCTTTGAATGCGACAGGTATCAGCCTGTTATTCTAATTATTTTTGGTCTGAAATGAAACTGACTCACCTTTCCTCACGCACCTCAACGTACCCCTCCCTCTGCGCCCACTGGGTGGGGACAGACATAGTCGTTGTTGCGGGCGGTGGTGGTGCAGACCGCTCTGGACGTGAGAATAGAATAGAGCTGCTTCTCGCTGATGGCCTCGAGGAAGTTGCCCATGAAGTCTTGGATGGTGAGCCTGTTTTCTTCCTTGCTCCTGCGACTCATAGCACGTGCTTCTTTGCCGCCTTGCGGATGAGCTCTATTGCCGTATATGAGATTACAGGCTTGAACGCTTCTGGTACAGAATCGCCAATCCTGGCACTACACAATCAGACAGGGTGGAATGATGTGGGAGAGAAACAGCGCATAACCGCTGTTTATGGGTGCGGTGACTATTTGGCCTTTTGTACAGTACACGAGGACACAAGAACAAGTTCCCTTCACATTTGGTGCTACTCTTGTAATAATGTTGAGAGCGATGACTCTACTCACTCCGCTACCGTTTCATTTGTTTCGCTACCTTCTACTTCTCTTCCTCTACGTTCTACTCCCATTTCCATGGTACCCCACATCTCTGAAAAGCACACTGATTTATATGTTGTAAGTCGACAAGGGGAGGTTTCATGCGTATCCCCGGCGCAAATCCCGCACATTCTGGGGACTGCAACTCCATACAATCAGCATCCGCTTTCTTCCACCGTGCCCATGTCTCAGCCAGAGCCCGGGGCACGTCTCTGCGCAGCTGGCCAGGAGCAGCTTGTTAGTGGCACAGACGTTCTCAGAGCTCTCTACCCGCTCCATCTGGACACAACACACGCACTTGCGGGTCACTTTGTCGCCCACTTTACCGGGAAACGTTCGTGCTCATTATGTCTTCTAGACCAGTGTCTCATCCCTGTCAAGACCTGCCGGGTAAGCTCGACCTTGTCGTGCGGGATCAGCCGCTTTCACGAGGACTCTGCTGTCGTCTTTATGGTTCTTTCTGACGGAAGCGTCCTAACGTTTGACGCACTGACCCTCACACGTCTTAACTCATACCGGGGAAGCGAGGACTCTCTTCTTACTGCGCTGGAGCTCACTAGCGGATCGTCTAGGTGCATTGTGGTGTCTCCGGCTGGTGTAGAAATCTGCTCCCTGCACCCAATCAACAGCAGCCTTCAAAGTGCATACCGCACAGCACTCTTTATCTCCATCTTTATGGTCGTCGTTCTTGCAATAGGGATTTACTACAGATACCTGGAGAATACGGGTAGCCTAGACTCACATCTTCTGTTCATAAAACTTAATCGTATGGTGTCTAGAAAGAATGCGTGGAAAACAAGCGGGTCTGGCGAGATCAGGATTTAGATAAGTTGACCTGCTTCAGTGCATCCCTGGCTGCTTTTGTCGTAGCAAAGTCCCACGCTCCTCGACCATCCTTCGTTCTTAGACCCAGTTCGTGGTCTACGAGTAAAGTAATGGCTTCCGCATGGGCATGCTTGCACGCGCTCATGAGGGCTGTGTACCCATCTGTCCTTTGCATCCCCTTTTCATGGGGGAGTAGAATAGACAGGCATTTGATAAATCCGTGGCTTGCGGCGCTCATAAGGGCGGTCTGTCCATTTTTGAGCTGCATACCACTCTCGTGTTTGGCCAGATACCCTACCGACTTAGTGTGGCCTTCCTGGACGGCAAACATCAGGGCACTGAAGCCTCTCCGTGTTGGTATACGGGCCTCGTGCGGAACAAGAAGCTTGATGACGGCGAGATTTCCTCTCTGGGCAGCCAACGCCAGGGCTGTGTATCTCCGTCTGTCCTTTATCCCAGCCTCATAGGGTATGAGCAAGCTGACAATTTCCTCATGACCTTTAACAGACGCTAACATAAGGGCAGTCCGTCCATCCCGGCGCTGAAGTCTTGTCTCATGTTGCAAGAGGAGCCTGACCACCTCGATATGCCCATGCCACGCAGCAAGCATAAGGGCCGTAGACCCCTCCCATGCCTTTTCCTTGGGGTCTGCTGGCAGGGGTGCCTGCAATCCGGCCTCCTTTTCTATTAAAAGGGCTGCAAGATCTGCATAGTTCAACACCGCAGCATAGGCCAGTGCCGTATAACCTGTGGTGCTAAACTGGCCGGCTTGATGTATGAATTCCTTAACCTGAGGAGTGCTACACGCTTTCACCGCCTTCATTAGGTCCGTTAAGGTCGGCTCGTAATGCGTGGGCGGAGTGTCAGGCTCTAGATTTATTAGTGGCCTGTGACTTGTGCTCACGTCGATAATTTCTTTGAGCTCATGCGCACCAGATTCGGCCGCAAGCTCTGCAGGCTTTTTCCCGTCTTCATTTGCTATACTCCGCTCATAAGGAGCAAGAATCCGTACACAATCTTTTGAATTGCATCTCACTGCGTGATGCAAAGCCGTGGAGCCCGTCGAATCAGTCAACTTTCCTTCTAGTGGCAGAAGATCACGAACAACGCCAAAGCTGTTCTTTTGAGCCGCGTGCATCAAGGCTGTACATCCATCGTTGTCCCTCATACGCGCTTCCTCCTTGACCAGTAACTCAACTGCGTCCGGAAGATCCGCCATAGCTGCCAGCATAAGTGCAGTATAGCCACGCTCTGTCTTGAGGGAATGTAGGGATTGAAGCAGGTAACGAATCGAATCGGTGCTATCGTTAAGCGCGGCAACGTGGAGTGCTGTCAACCCTCCTGGGGCCAGGCAGGTTGCTTCGCGTTTGATAAGAAAAGATAACACGTCCGCTTTATTTTCCTCTGCTGCGATATGTATGGCAGCATAGCCATTGTCATTCTGTATCTTTCCTTCCAGCACATGCAGATGCCGTACAGCATCCTTGCTCCCTATTTTTGCAGCCATCATGAGGGCGGTAGTCCCAGTTAAATCTTTTCGCTTAGCTTCTTTGTTGGCCAGCTCAGCAATTGCATCAATACTGTTCTGCTGCGTTGCGATCATGAGAGCCGTAAAACCATTGCTGGTCGTCATACCCCCTTCATATTTCCAGAGAACCTTGCAGACATCAGCATTGTTATGGCATGCAGCATACATAAGAGCAGTCCACCCTCTCTCTGTACACACTTTGCCTCTCTCTGTCTTCGCGAGCAGTTTTGCTATTGCTGAATGACCGCAAATTGCTGCATGCATCAGAGCTGTTCTCCCGGTTGTATCGACCACCATAGAATAGCATTGCATGAGCTTCTTCACAGAGTGCCGGTCGTTGTTCCGTGCAGCAATCATCATATCTGTCCATTGTTCCTCTACTGCCTCGGAGGGCCTCCTATAGTCAGCAGGAAGAGATGTCATTGCAGTTGTCGCGGAAGACACAACAGACACAGAATCATCTATTGCACCTATCTCAGCAGGGGTGCACTCGTCCTTTGACAAAGCAGGCTCCGATGCAGCCTGATCTGACGAGGCAGACTCCGCACAAACAGTGCCGGAATCAGAGTAGTCTAAGAGATCAAAATCTGCCGTTTTTAGTCCAGTCAAGTTCTTACCATCATAAAGTAACAGTGGGGCCGAGACTATCCTGGGGTTATTTTGCAGAGCCATGGCCGGAAGCCTGCGGGCGGGTATGGGAGAAAGAAGGATAGATAGAACAGGCTTGATGTCCTTGTCATAAGATGGTGGAAGAGATATCGTCTCCATGATGGTCATACTCATATTGTATGCCTCCATAACGGGGCTAACTCTTAAGGGCTTGAGTCCAGTAATAAACTCGTAAATCAAACAGCCCAAAGACCACAGATCTGCCTTCTCTGTGAGTGTGCCCTGCAGCTCTGATTTTGCTACCGCGTGAAGAAGTTCTGGAGGTGCATAACAATACATCTCTTGGTTGTCTAAAAGAGCCTCCCCAATACTAAGCGAATCGGGCAGAACATAGTCCACAACCTTAAGGAGCCCCTTGCTACAGAGAATCCGCTCTGGGGTCAAGATGCCGGCAAGGACAACGCCCACGTCTGAGTCTGGCTTAACTTTACTATGTAAGTAGGCTAACGCCTTTAAGAGCTGCATAAGCGAAGAGTGCACATCATCAAGAGATGGTTTTTTCAGCGCCCGTAGCTCTGCAAGAGTCTGACCGGCAGAATACAAAATGTAATGCTTCTGCTCACCCTCGTCACAAATGACATCGGCGATTTGGCCTACATGCTGACAGACCATTTTCCGCGCCCCGCTGATGCGCGCAGAGAGCCTCTCTTGCTGCGTGGGGGTCAGACAAGCATAAGATAGTTCTCTGCAAATGTATCGAGCTTTATCCCTTTTTGCTTCCACTGTGTACAAACACCTATCGAGTCCCTGGCCCCATAGTGCTCCTGGCTCATAATTGGAGGCCAGTTTCATAGTGACTTTTAAAAACCCTTTAAACTATTGTACCTATCTAATGTCCATCTCACGCTTACAGAGTGAATTTAAGCGCTTACAGCTCATGCCCCCAAGATACATGTTTGTAGACTTTGACGGTATTGATCTTTCAGAATGGGAAATCTGCATGATCGGACCCGCGAGCTCCCCTTACGAAGCATGTCTTTTCCATGTGCACCTCTCTATAGGAAGGGAATACCCTATATCTCCACCTACTATCACATTTAACTCTAGAATACTTCATCCCAACATATCGGACAGGGGGCTTGTATGCCCTAATCTAGTGAATAAAGACTGGACCCACACCATGGGAATTCAAGATCTCATGGAACTGCTACAGGATATCCTACTGACCCCACGCATGGAGAAGGCATACTTGATGGACATCTGTGCTGCAAGATTATACGCGTCCGATGTCCGAGCCCTTACGCAAGAAATGGCTAAAATGTCATCATAGAGCACAGCAATAATATGCGTCATACTATTGTGTTATACAGTAAATACTGGAGTGTTGCTACGGGCTGGTTGAGGGTGCGTCTATTTCCCAGCTAGCCACCTTGGCGCGACAAATTGGGCACTGGTCACTCGTCTTCTGGAAGCAAGAGGCACAGGAAATGCATAGCAGACGATGGGTACAAGGAAGAGCCCGGATTATGGCTACTTCATCGAGACATATGCTGCAGTGCTCGGCGCCTGAAACGACATCTGGAGGAAGAGAGTCTATGATAAGAAACTGAAGTCCGGGCCCATAAACTAGCTCCTTGATCAGCTGATTCTGGGAGTTACTGGCATAGAGACGCAGATCAGGAGATGGAGCATTTATCAATCGGTACTCGTAAGGGATGAGGATTTTGACTATGTCAGTGTGCTCCTTGGAGATCGCATAAGCAAGAGCAGACCAGCCTCGAGAATCAACGATAGATGATTCGTGCGGAGCTAACAAGGCTACTACTCGTACGTGACCCAACAAAGATGCACGCATGAGAGCCGTCACCCCATCCTGATCCTTCATGCCAGCTTCTGTGTCAATAAGCAGGGCTAGAAGGCTGTAGTGGTTAAGGCCGGCGGCTAACATGAGTGCCGTGACACCGTATGAATCCTGATGTCTTGAGTAGTTTCTAGCGTGTAATTTCACACTAGAGACATCATTTGCTACCACGGACTCCATCAGAGGAGTCCAGCTCAGTGTGTGGTACTCTGGCTCACATAGATCAGCGACACTTTGCTCACTACCAGCCAGGAGCGCGTGCCTCAGCGCCGAGAAGCCACTGTTATCGCAAACCCCTGCTTCCTTCTGCAGCAGAGCACGGTGAATGCGCTGATTGTTCCGGGCCGCATGCATCAGGGCAGTCATGCCAGTTGCGTCACGCGTGCCACCTTCTTCGTCAATAAGACTGTCAACTTCGGTAGTTTGGCCTTCTGCCGCAGCACACATCAGGGCAGTGCGGCAATAAGTGTCGGCGTTCAGCAGCATTTAACCGCCGCGATGTTTAAAAAAGAAAAGTGATGTTCCTTACTTTATGTTCTCAGAAAATCAACAAACCATCCATCTTAGATCGTAAAATAAATTGCCGGTATAAAAATTTCAAAAGTTGAATTGTGACAGTGAAGCAATCACTATGTCTACTCCTTCTACTCTTGGAGAAAAGGCTTCATCACGGAGCGCCGGTATTTGTTCTTTGATCGCTCATGTCTTTAGACGGCATGACATGGAAAAGGACCTCGAAGACTTTGTCGAGAGTCCTGCTGGCATAGCGCTAATTGTGTTCGTATCTTTGTTACTCTTGGCTACCATCCTAGTCGTGATCATCGTTCCTATCGTATGCAACCGGCGCCAAAGGCAAGCAGCGAGCTACCAGGCTATGATGACGCCTTCGGGTGTTGTGCGTAAGTCTCGGCACCCTGTCACAGCGAGGCCCGGCATGGGAGGCCCTGAGTTTAACACCGGTCAGACGCAGCCTCCAACCGTGGCCCCGCCTACCATTGAAATGAAAACTACTTTATGGGCGCAGCCATCCAACCCCACCGTCCGTGGATCAGGGATGAGTGCAGGACAAACTGCTGCGCTGTTTCCTCCCGCTGTGACAAGAGCGGGGTCATAAAGAGGATAACTGGCCAGGTCAGGCCTGGCCTGCATCACATATTTTGGTTACACCATTTTTCATAGTGAATCTTAAGCAGATATCTTTTCTCTGGGCTTCACGTTGCCCGTGCTGACGCCCCGTTTGCCCGGGCCAGCAATTCAAAAAGTGGAAATTCGTTAATCCAGAATCCGCAATGCGCACGGTGGGGGCCGACGCTTGCTCGGATTTTTATTCGTCGACAATTCTCTCACGCCGCAAATATGTGACAGTGCTACTTGGAACGACCTACACAACCCCAGAACCCCACGTTGCAAAGCTTTATAATATGAAGGAAATACGGGAGTCATCGCTGTTACAGTTTGTTAACGATCCACATTGTCTCCAGTACATCCAACATCCTCGTCTATTGCGCTGCTACGGTTGCAGGGTCAATCCTCGACGAGACACAGTGACATTATTTGAAGAATTTGGCCAGGTGAGTCTGCAGAAACTTATTTTGGAACATAGAAAAACTGGGAAGTGCTTCTCTGAATCAGCACTGTGGTCTATTGCCGCTGCTGTAGCAAGCTTACTCCAGTATCTCCACCAGCATGATAACAAGACCTTCTATAACGCGGTTTCTAACAACACCATCAATATGGGCAGCATGGTGCATGGGAATTTGAAGCCATCTAATGTGTACATAACGCATCAAAAGGATATCTCATCGTTTGGACTCTCGGACGTGAAGATAACGCATCCAGCTATATATCGTAACTTTGGTACATCTCGAAACTCAGCTGGTAAGCAGATTGATGAGTTGATATACCATGCCCCCGAGATTTTAAATGCCTTGGCCACCCCGACTCCTCCAGGGATCTCTGCATATGACGCTAACACAGCGTGCTGCGGCGCTGCTCCAGACCTCTGGTCTCTGGGTATTATCCTCTATGAAATGATGGCCCTAGCAAAGCCCAGCCACACCAATCAAACTGTTCTTTCTCGCCTAGACAATCACAATCCTGGGACAATCACCGCCATGCCAGACTTGGATCTAAGCGATACATATAGCACTGATCTTCTTAATGTTATCACACAGCTGCTTAGCCCAGATCCTCTTCAAAGGCCACGGATCCAGTCTCTTTTGCTTACAGGCCCAATCATGTCCATACTTCAAGGCTCGCCGCCTCTTTCTCCCCTTAGGCAGAGGAGGCCTGAAGCGTTTCCAGCTCATCCAGGCCTACTTATCAAGGGCCCCACAGTGAGAGAGCATGCACTTGAAGACGTGACGATTTCTGGGCTAAGCAATATAGATCACAGAGACCTGTCTGTTGTGGATGCTGATGCATCATCAGCGCGCAAAAGGGAAATGGATTTGGAAACTGTCATTAAGGTTCTCAATACTGGCAATAAAAACGCACAACAGTTATCTACTTCTAAGCCACCTGCTACAGCACTTAACGATCCTATTAGCACCGGTAATCTCCTGCACGAGCCCTTACCAGTCATCAAGACAGCAATTCATTTGACAGGGAGTTGCGACAACTCACAACGAAGCATAGCTGGCGATAGCGAAGATAACTTGGCGCTGGACATGGATGCAGGCTCAAATTCAGACTCCGAAACTATGGACTTTTGCCCTGCTCCTCTGAGTAACCCTCCCAATCCGACCAAAAAAGAGCACTCCCAGGCAGAGACCCCGAGTATCATGCAAGATAGGCCTCTTCGAAATTTCGTTCATAGTAGCCGAGTCCTGCAGCCAGGAGTACTGGAGACAATCAACGAGGATAGCCCAGAGCGTGCATCTACATGTACAAGGTTGCGGGCCAAGCAGCACGAAAGACAATCAGAAAGCATCCAGAGCAGATCCTTGTCTGCACGTCCTCGTCAGATACGGCCAGCAAATCCTTACAAGGCCCGTATGAGTACTCACGAATTGGTATCACTGCTAATCTCCAATACACCATCCAATGGCAGCACATCTAAGTACTCTTACCGCAACCCAGAAGATCCCTTAGTCTATAAGCAGATATACGTACGAGGCACTCTCCCAAGTAGCAGACATACATCAGATGGCATGCATGCAGATATATCGCATACTATTTTCGGTCTATCACCAGCTAACTATGTTTCTTTTGACGCCACTCGGTCTAGTTCTATCAGATCCCAATCTTTATCAAGCCGCTCAAGGGAGAACACCGTCCTGAATCAGGCTAGCCATGATGGACTATCAGGCGATTCTCGCAGCGTACATTCGGCCTTACCCCAAAGGTCTAGTTCTCAAGGACATCGGCCTGCAGACCGCAAGATGATTAGCTGGCGTTCCAAGGAAGATGCCATTGCAAACGCACACCAGGTGAAGCGTGACAAAAAGGGAAATACGCAACTGATGCTTGCGGCCTTGTCTAACAACCTTAAGGCTGTGCATGAATATGCATCACAGGCCGGCTTGCAGAATAAGTTTGGGTTTACTGCAATGATGATAGCTGCAAAGAGAGGGTTTGTGGAGATTGTGAAGATCCTCATGAACCAGGAGTCAGGAATTACTACAAAACGCAAATGTGGTGTACCCTCTGCCACGGCACTGATACTGGCTGCAATGTGCGGCCAGGCAGAAATAGTGTACTTGCTGCACGAAAAGGAGAGAGGGATTCAGGATAAGTCGGGGATGACAGCGTTAATGCATGCAGCCATGCGAGGGTATACCGATATTGTATTAATTCTCAGGAGTGCAGAGGCACGTAAGCGTGACTTTCACGGATGCACTGCATTGTTGATGGCAACAGAGTATAACAGGTTAGATATAATTAAGCTTCTTATTGACCAGGAGGCGCAGATGTCCACGACAGATGGATACAAATATGGTAGCGGGTTCACTGCTCTGATGTGTGCTGCCCGATTAGGATTCGTGCAGGCCGTAGAGCTACTCGTCAAAAAGGAGGCCAACATGATGCACATGCCGGCAGACAGAGAAACAGGAGGTTTTACTGCACTGGTGTGGGCCGCCAGAGAAGGTCATCTGGCATGCATAAAAGTGCTTGCGCCTTACGAGGCGGCTCTTTCAGGGGGCCTTGCTATTGTTGAAGGAGAAAAATCTCTTACTAATTCCAAGGTCAAGAAACAAAGAATTCGCTCACTCATTCGGAGGCACATGTGCCCTGACGAGATGGAGGGTTCGGTGCTGGCCAGGAGCTCAACTAGGGTTTTGCGGACTTGTGACATCTAACGTAAAATCTAAAAATGGCAGATGACATGGTTACCGCGAGTGGTGCAAGTAGTGGCGATGATCATGCTAGCAATTTGAATGAAGAACAGCTCGATGCATCTGAAGAGCAGCCCCTTGGTCCAGAGACTCTAGTCTATGAAGAACCAGATGACGTGGCTGCGGATGAAGAGGGTACTCTTCGGCATGAGTCCATTAACGACTTGGAAGCACACTCGTCCTCTGAGAAGCTTGGGGATGTGGAACATGTTAGTGAGCACACAAGTCCCAAAGAGGCTAACGGAAAGGACGACCTTGAAGAAGGGGATGAAACTTCCATCCTAGCTGCAGAAATCCTTGAAGACGACCCCATTGTATACGCTCCAGAAGATATCATGGATGAAGAGGATGACCGGCCACCCGAGTCCCCAGCTGCTTTGCCAGAGGAACAACGCGTGTTAGCTAGTGCCGGAGATTACCAGAACGTTGATGCACTTCTCGCTAGACAAGCGTATGATCCACTGGGGCATCCAGAGGTTGGTGGGCTGGACGATGTTGATCCTTTGAGAGCTTCGGTCGATCCTGGATGCACGCCAGAGGACCACCTAGAAGCAGAAGAGCTTGTCATTATTAATGTTGATCTAGACATGGCGCAACAAGAGGACGCGAAGGGTTCTGCAGAACCGGAGGCCTCTCCTGTTGTACCTGCGAAGGCCCCTGACCAACACTTACCTTCAATCAATAGTTTACAGGCGTCTGGTTCTAAACCACACGAAGACAGTTTCGATGAGAGTACAGCTAGAAAGCATATAGTTGACCAAACTGTGGATGCAGGGGAGGAGCCCGTGGATCCCAGTATGCACCCGGCCATCGCCCAAGCAATTAAAACAAGAAATGACCACTTTCCTTTGTTAAGTGATCCAAAGCTACCCCACACTAGGGAAAACTTCAACCTGCCTCCCCTTGTAGAGGGTCACAGTGTTCCTGTGGACAAAGGGACATACAAAGACTACGTGTTTGATCTGGAGCGGCAAGAATACCTTCAAAAGGAGGAGGTCACAAAGGCTCATACAGAGTACTTGGAGAAACACCACGAACTCAAACAGATTGTAAGCGACTTCCTGACTAGTATTCTAATTGACAAACCAACTGATGTATACCAATACGCTGCAGATTACTTTAGTGTTGTAGTGAATTAACTATTTGTCACAGGTTATCTCGCAAGGCAGATGAGTGCCTTAACAGAGGAGCATTCGGGGCGTCTGGCTCTGGTGACGAGCGCTGGAGAGTCACGATGGAACAGCTGGTGTCTTCACATACCGGTATCGTTAAAAAGATCGTATTTGGTTTCCTGAGCTGCATCTCTCCCAGTTGCATCTCGAAGTTAGTGACCAGCTTCTCCTCTTCAAGTGCCATGAGAACATAATGCTTAGGATGAAACTTCCCTGAGAGAGACTTCAATACGCTAATGTTTATCTCTGATATATTGAGATTGAGTCGCTTCATCCAAGAACTGAAGAAATCTTCCAGTTTATCAGCCATGGTTTGAGGTGGGTTGTTAACCAGGTGGAAGTAGCAGGAAAGTGCTCCGACCAGAGAGGCATCCGCAACATCTATCAGAGAGTCAGGGATGCACGCAATAAGAAGAAGATGCTCTGCAATACCCGTACCATGCCTGGCCTCGCATCTCAGGAAGAACTCCTCTACAGAAGCTAGTTCAACAGATTGACCAATTGTAGATAATATAACATTAATTCTTTCTGGAGATAACAAACGCAACTTGAGAAGCTGCTTGACTAAGTTTATGCTTCTGGTATCTCTAATGTTTAGGTAAGGAAGACAAACGGGGACAGTGCAGATGTCTCTGACTATTTCGGTCAAGGCCATTAGTGCCATCACCAACAATCTGTAGAGACCTAACAAAGCTAACGCGCTCTCTAAGTGACTTGTCCCCATGGAGGAGGGGCCACTATCAACCATGTTACACAATGTTGAAACCACCTCGGCAGTGAGACGCTCATGTAGAAGCGCAATTGAGATGTAGAGGCGTCTATAGTTAATGAGCTCTCTCACCGTATCAATGTACTGGCTATACGCTCCAGTGTTCTGTCTTGTTGCACCAAAGTGAGCACGAACAGCGTCCTGCTCATCTGTGGTAATGCCTAATTCAGTCCACAGCTTTTCCAAGGCTACATCTCCGCCACGCGGGTTTTCCTCCGTAGAAGTGTGTTTCCTGGCGCTGAGCTTGTTAATGAATGGATTCGTTTTATTGTATTTGTCCTCCACGGGTGGGGTTCTGCGATCGAACAAAGCCAATGATGTATCTGGAACTGCTGTGTTATTTACATACAATTCTCTCTTTTCTGCCACACAGAGATGGGGGCTGTTTAATTTAGACGTGAAATAATCAGATTGCAGGACTTTTTGTGGATGCACATGCTCCTGTGTGAACCGCTGAAAATCTTCTTCGGAGACGCTTGAAACACCGTTCAAGATCTCTGCTTCACCGTTCAGTGAGGGGGAAAGGATAGAAATCCCGGAGTATGGAAAGGATGGGTGACTGAGTGGGCCAGATTGCGCCATGCTTTTTTAAGAGGAAGGGTTTGAAGAGCGCTATGCACTGTCACATGGGTGCATTTACTTACAAAAAGGTAAGGATGCCAATGGCCACGCGTTTATACTTCTGTAGTTGTATCAACTAGATATGCCTCTCGATATTCAGCTGCGGGGTCTATAGGGATTATAACTGTCCGCAGGCTCATGTTCTTATTGACAAACGCCTTGTCTCCTCTGCGTTCATACACATATTTCGAGAGGGTCTGCTCCTCGTTAGCTATAAACTGCAGGCACTCAGAGCCCGTCAGGGGCCGAAATTGTAAGGAGTTCATCCGCTCCTTAGGAAGGTAAGCACTTGGATGAGACCACAAATATGCGTTCCACCGGGTAATAAGATCTGGGATCGGACGAGTGTTTAGCTCTACCGTGCCATCCGTTCGAGGAGGAGACAGGGATGATGTAGTTACCGATGTGTACCCCTGCTGTTCATTCAAGGTGCTATATGGGGCGTTAAGCAGAAGTCTAAGATAGAAGTCAGTAAAGGGATCCTGATACAATCCGAATTTGTTGCCTTTCTTGGCTATTTGTGTTGAATGGTCTCTCATGTAATCGTGAATTTGTCTCCGAGCGTCTACAACGGAACCTGCGCTGCCACAAAACCTCGCAAGGTAGAATATCTTTTCTGCGATGCCTGGAGCATAAAGAGTATTGTCTCGTACAAGACGGTACCACTCAGATTGATAAATGCTTTGGACAGGCGCTAATTGGGGTAGTCCCACGGGTGCATCCAGCTCCTTACGGAGATAATGGATCAGTGAAATCAAGCGAACTGTGTAATAACTATACCGCGTTAGCACTCCAATAAATGTATCAACAGATTCTTCAGAAAGGGGCCGTAAGTTGGCACTAAGGTTTGGTGCATCCCGAGGTTCTATAAACTGCTGTCGTGCGCACTGTTGAAGCATCTCACGATACTTGTGACAGTGGTTGTACTCGTTTAAATATTGCTTGACCATCTGTAGTCGTTTAAAGTAGAGATCTTGTAGCTCTTCACGCTGCTTCAGGAGATTCATCACGAAACGCTTTTCTCCCTCAGGAAGCCCTACTAGATTCATGTCTATCCGAATTACATGCAGAGTTGTTATAGATACTGTTTCGCAGAGAGGGAGCGGATTAGGAGAAAACTGGGGCTCATGATAAACGTATAATCCTTGGGGTTTAGCGGTAGATTTCTTTTTCCGAGAGATCCCCCGCTTAGTGGAGGGCGCAGGACCTCGGCGTGCAGTACCGGAACGATGCGAGACGACAACCCTCCGACGGACATTTGACATGTTATAATTTCTTTTATAACAGAGTTGGCGGATTTACTAGGTGCGGATAGGAGAATAGAATGATAGAGCGATCTCCTTAGAATATTAGCCTGCCTGTAAGAACTGAGCAAAATGGTTAGTCAAATATGCTAGGGTGTTACGAATGTACGCAGTGTGCTTTGCAACATTTAGCCGATAGCCCTCGATATACTCATGCCAGGTACTAGAAAAGTCACTCTCAGTTTGGAGAGAACTCGCCTCTGTGGGCGAGATAACATCCACGTTGAATAGACCACAGTACACGCAAGGGATGTCCGAGATATTCAAATTAGGAAACCAAAAGCACTTACTACACTGTCTACACCTTCCGCATCCACGCTCGGTCCTTGTGAAGAGATCTATGTTAAGCACGAACATTGCTGTCTTCATGGTAAACAGATTCTCAACTTTGTTAGAAAGCTCCCTGGAAATGTAAAAGAGCTCCTCAGTTGTGTCGTTATTTTCCTGTGAGCTCTGTTCCTGGTCTTGATGCACGGATTCGCTATCTGTTTCGTCTTCTTCTTCAGACTGGTCTGATGAGGAGGAAGCCTTTGAGGTATCAACTGTTTCTAACGCAGATGGATCAGTGGCAGCGACTGATATTGGTGTTACATATCCTCGTATAAGCAAGCATAACATGAAAAATATGGAGCACTGGCTGGTTACTTCTTCAAGCGATTTTCCCTTGAGAAACAGCTTCCGACACAGAGGGCACGTATAGTTACCGGCCCTTATCAGAGAGTTAAGGCATTTTATATGGATATAATGTCTGTTTTCGCAGCCAATCTCGGTGTGATCGTATATGCTTGTTTTCAACTCCTCTTGACAGATACAGCAAACATAATCGGTGGCGTCACACTTGTGCGTATCAAAGAACTGCTTCTTGTAGCATTGCCTGCAGATATCACAGTGCTTGTGCTCCCCTTGCTTTCCCACACGACAGAACGTACATGATTCACAGTGGAAAAAAGGCTTAACCTCAGGGGATATCAGGCTGATATAGTTACACTTTGGACAGAAACTCTTTGCAACTTCCCCTTTGCAATGCGTGCAACGAAGTCCGATTGGGCCCACTTTATCACAGAGCAAGCAGCGCATCGAGGTGATGGCAAAGCGATCCAGCTCGTCACACTGGGATTCAAAATCGTCGTTATGACAGAGTCTGCAAGAATAATCTTTATTGCATTTGGGGCAAATCACGCGGCAATTTAAAGGATAGTGCATGCATCCATTAACTGTCTCCTGGATAACGTCAAGATAAACTATATCTTCGGCAACCTCCTGATCATTTTGCAAGCTTAGACCATTGAGATCTTCGAACGTTAAGTCGTCTCTCCAATCAGAAAAAAGCATAATGGGAGTACTACTGGGGGTAAAGCTAGAATTGGCTGGCCTAACAACATAATGCCTTAGAAGCACCCTATCCTCCTTATTAACCCTATAATAACAATAGCATACGTAGGAAAACATGGAGATGGCTGTTAACGTAAGTATTGCAATAGTTAATTAATTTTTCTGTTTCTGGCCTCAACCCGAGGTCTCTTTAGGATGTCTGTTTACATGTTACACTACTTACTTTCGTTATTCACCTACTAACTCATTTGTTATATCTTCTAATCTGCAACCTTCGCGTATCAATTGATACTTCAAGCCCTTTTCAGAGCTTACTCCGGGCGCGCCGGGAGGCCTGCGACGGGTGCGAGCCTGCTGACCTGCTGACCCGGGTGGAAAGAAAAGGATGGCGTTCAGCTACTTCACGGTCCCGTCTGGCCAGCCCTTCAGGAGGCCGCTGCCCGGCCACGTTGTCGCGCGGCTAGCGCAGCCCCTCCGGAGGACGCGCTCTGTCGAGGAAGCGGCGGACCGCCGAAGCCAGGCCCTCTGGCGGCGTTCGGAAAAGGCCGGCGAGGTGTACAGAGCGGCCCGCAAGATCGCCATGAGCAGGCACTTGTTCGACTTTCACGACCGCGCAGTCGCCAAGCACCGCGCAGAAAGGGCGCAGCAGGAGGCAGAGCGCCGAAGGACAGCGCTCCTCCAGTGCAAATCCGACGCGATAGCAGCTGGATACAACGAGTGGTACGACGCGCGGGTGTGCAAGGAGGAAGAGGAACACCTATCTAAGTCAAAGCGCGACAGGTATGGCGGTAAACGGGCAGGCCTCTGGGAAGAGCATCTGATACTCAGCAACGCCTCTATTCGCGTTTCCTCAGTGGGCCCAGCAAGGGCCCTTTCTGCTCCATATCAGCCAGCGTCTAATTGATGAAAAGTCTTCCTGCAAACCAAGTACTCTATTAAGTGGTTCGTTAGTGAATAGCACCTGTACCAAATAGAGAGTTGCATAACGAGCTCAGAGGTTTTCTTCCTCTGTTGAGCCCGTTGCATAGATGAAGTTGGTACGCCTCAATCAGATATCTGAAGTGCCTCTTTATGAATGTACTCACAGATGCAACTAGAAGAGGTGCATCACACCTGACTCCATGTGTACAGACTTGACGCTATGCAAGATTACTTGACGGAAGTCTTCAGGGACGCTAGTCATCGGTCTACACGCCAAGGATTAGGAGTCTACATAAGATGCTCTCGCTATACTCTTTTGTATGTTGAAAGGAGCTGATTTCCTAAAACACACTGATAAATATCAATAGCTTAAGCTTGAGGCCACAACTCCTCTTTGAACAACAGTCTATCGATGCTCAAGTATGGATTTCTAGAGTATTGATCACGATAACCAGGTCTTTGAGATTGTCTTAAATGTCCAACCTTTCTAAAGCGCAGTTTAAATGACTACTAGTTTCCATGGTTTGTAGGCCGTAGTATAGACTTCGTTGAACTATTATACTTTTCCCATATCCCATAAACGTGCAGAAGGCTACTGTATTCTTGGAAGGGGTGATCTTTCATATATTTCTAAGCACTGAACCGTGGTTAGGATTGGTGTACAAGGTTATCAGACACACACGATGTCCATATTAAGACGCAGGACTTAAATGCTACAGGCGGCCTCAGAAAGAGCTCTCTGAGGGAACAAGAAGTGAGGCGACTAATGCACCGAAGATGCTGCGGGCCTCTGTCCACGGAGTGCAAACCCATTACTATGCAATTCGCTACCACAGGCTTCTGTCTGCGGCGACACAACTACTAGGTGACATCACACTCTGGAAGCTAGTGTGCGGGCTCACGTTGTAAGGTCGGCGGACCGGAGGATGCAGGAGCCACGGGGTAGTGACTGACCATCATGGCTTCTATAGGCTCTGCGGCTATTAGTACAGGGGCAGGGATGCTGCATCCTGGTGATTGGCCCAGAGCCGCACCATCCAATGGGCCGACGACCCTCATGTTGTTTCAATCTGAAGCGGCCTCCACTGCTGCCCCCGTACGAGTTGGAGAAGGGGTCGGCCCCATCGAATGCGGCAGAGAACAACAAGTCCCCAGTCTTCGGGCGAGGAAGATGGGTGATCTCGTCCAGGTGAAGCCGACTCCTCACCGTCCTCTGGGTCCTGCCTCTTCTACCGCCCTGGCACAACATAGCTCGGTAGGGGGCGGCGTGTCTGCGCTACAGGACGCGTCGTCAAGAAAGAGTGGGCCTGGAGAGGCCCGACGGCCACCGCTGGGATAGGCCTCAGAAGCCCTTGGCTGCAGGATACGCTACTGCCAGGGTCAGTGCAGGCTATGGCTTTGAGGAAGCGCAGGACTGACGGGCGCTATCAGGAAACACCTGGCACGTTCTCGTGGAGAGGGGGACTCAGGCTTGGGGGCTTGGCAGTGTCGGGCCCGGGCTGGGTAGAGAGCTTGCTGTACCCGGAAGTGAAGACCCCAGCAAGCAGGAATAGTGGCCACAGCCAGTACAGCCGGCGGGTCGACCCGGGCCTCTTCAGCCGCGCTTGATGGAGCCCGACGTTGCGCCAGGCGACGGGACAGGGCACCGGCCGTCTCTAGGGCATGCAGGAGGCGAGGCTTGTGAGCCCATGGGCGTCTGGCCTGCAAGCTGAGGCCACATCGGTGACGAGGCCCAGAGTGACGCAGCGTGGACGCTCTGTGGTGACGGGCCTGACAATGAGTGCAGCAAAGTTATGGGAATGGGCTCCGTCTGGGTCAGGACCTCAGAGTTCTCTTCGTCGTAAGGAAGAATAGGGCAGTGCGGTATAAGGGAGGCATCCGGCAAGATATGCTGGGAAACTGGCCCGTTGCGGTAAGTCACGGGCGCTGCCAAACACGGCGTCTCTTCTCTTAGACAGAAGACAGGCAGAATGGGTGACTGCGGAGGCTGCAGTGTCCGTGGTAGATCGCGGCATCGCAATGCGGCTGGGTCCGTGCCGGTGTGTCTGCCCGGACTCTAAGTGCGCTCTGAGGATCACCTGCTGATGGGCTGGAAGGCCCGAGAAGTGATGTGCTGCCCCTGTCATTGCGGGCAGCGCCCCGTGACACGCACTCGAGCCAGGGCCTCCTGGTGGCCAGAAGCAGAGCAGAGGCAGACGGCCGGTCGTGCATCCGTCCGGGCGGCTCACTGCATGTAGAGCGAAGAAGACCACTTGCGCCGCTCGGGTTATCGCTCAGCATCAAGTGCGGATGGAAGGCTGGGCCCGGCAACCAGGGCACCGACCTGTACGCTCCTGTCAGCCATCCCAGGCCGGCCAGAAGCCAGGCTCGACAGGCAGTGCAAAAGCCAGGGAAGCCAGCGTGATCATCGGGCCCGCGTTTGAATGCTAAAAAACTTGGGCGGCGATGGCGACTGTCGTCTTCCTGGGAGGGCGCCTCTTCGCACAGGGTCAGCCGTCCTGGCCCTGCATGCTGGGTGCGCGGCTCGAGGGCGCGCTATGCTAGTTGAGGGCCTGCCAGGCGCTGCAGCCTACGAATAGCACGGACGGATGCAACGGGGTGTCCGAGCAGTGCACTGTCTTTGTCCCAGAGAGCTGTGGTTCTAACCATGCGCCCTACACCAGCTCGGCATACCCCTGCTGCTTCCGCTGCTGGTCTGTCTGCCACTTGTTTATTATAGCGGGGGCGCATACGCTTGGGGTGTCGCCTAGGCACTGTAGTGGTCTTCTCTGACGGTGCGTGTATATTCACATGATGGCCGATGGGTGGAGCGGCTGCCTGATCTCCGAGCTCTCATTGCAACAAGGCGGGGCGTCGGCTGTCTACACGCCTCTAAGCGAGCCCGCGACCTCTGTGCAGATGCCTGCTCGCCGCGCTCCATAGTGACGGCTGTACACCCAGAAGGGGCTGCAGAATCCTCCGCTGTCCTTCGATGTGGACCACGGCTTGTGCACAGGCTAGCGACGGGGCCTGCACACTAGCTTCTATGGGCCCAGCCTGCCAGGCACCTGGATCACAGTGCACGTCAAGACCGCACACTCGTTTGCATGCTCGCTGCTAATGTTGAACAGGACTGCGAGGGGTCTGTCTCTGGCCATCCTCGCCTTAGTACCTGGCCCTTGATGACACGCCTCAGTAGAGGATGGTGTCTTCTAAGTGCTCGGAAGACTATCCGTGCATGGCGGTTCCCGGAGAGTCGGTTCGCACAGAAAGCGTAGATGTGCCCGGCGGGCTAGTGGGGTAAGGCTGGGGCTACAGAGACTAGCCATTAGTCCGGATTACAGCAGGGACACCTGTAGTGCCTCCTCGGCTCCTAAGCGTGGAAAGGCCGTAGAACTTGCAGATGAGTTGGAGGCTGCTTTTTGATTTTATGCATTTGCAGCAGAGCAGAGTTTACTGAAGGTCCACTTATTCTAAATTCGAGGAGCCTCATCTCTTCCTCACACACGGTGAGATGATCGATTGTAGGGGTGTACTGTGCAAACCGGTGACAGTCAGCGTATCTATTATCCAGACGGATACTGCCTGCGTCCTCCTGTGGCAGACCACCACCAGGGCCCCCAATCTACACATCTGTTCTGGCATCTGTCGGGCAATCATCACCTCCTGTCGAAGGATTGCTATACGTTACACATCTTGAGCCATCCATCGACCAGGTGGTGCCATAAGCTCTTGTCCCCTACTTGTCCACTCAATGCATACTCTGAGCGCCGCCAGTTGCACTCACGTCTGCACTACTCATCTGGATGCCCCCCACTCTTCAAGAGCACATGCCCGCAGCCGATGCTCCGTATTACAAGAGAAGTCAGCCGGATCACTGCGCTGTGCATAGCTCTCATAGGCGTGTTGCTATGCGCGCCCAGCCTTTCCACCCGTAGGCCGCCACGCGTTCACATGTGCGCCAGCGCCGCCGAGCTTTCGTGGTTTCGAGTGGCCCTGATGCATGGAGCGCTTGCGCACAAGTCCTTCCACCACTGACCCAGGCCGACCCCTCGCAAGATCCTTAGCGGAGTTGCATCCGAGATGTGTGTCTGCGTTGCTGTCCAGGTGCATGTGCCGGCCCTGGTGCTTCTCACAAGCTTGCGAGCATCGAGCTGGCCTCTACCGAACCGTATCAGAAGTCAGCACCAGGATGTGGTCCCCTCGGTTGGGCTCTGCAGGCTCCCAGAGCTACGCACCAAAGGGCCGTTCTTCTTTGCGCCGTGTAACGTAGGGAGATGCACCGAGCTACTACGCCCTCTCCGTGTGGCGTGGTTTACGACGGGGGACGGGATCCCTGTGCTCATTGTCTATCTGCCCAGGGCCAGCCGCAGCCCGGGTTGAGGATGACAAGCGAAGATCTCCCAGCTCCTTGTCAGCGGGTGGGAGATCCCGCCACTCTAGTACCCACAACAAAGGGTGCCGATCACTGGCAGAGGGACACGACACCCAGGCCCCGCTCCTTCCACTGATGGTACCTAATAAGAGACTCCTTTGTCGCCTGCACCAACAACCTCAGGCACCGTGGGTCAGAGTGCCTCCATAGTGGACAGCGGTAGCACTATGATGATCTGGGGTGATATGAGTCCTGGCTTACTGGCTCAGGAGGCAGCACGCTTTGGGTGGTTCTTCCCTCTTGTCCAGATCTGGGAGGGCTGGCTGCCTTCCGAGCCCCCTGGCACCTTGTCAGGTGATGGAGTGTCTTAAAGTATTCATTACAAAAGATCAGAAATAGCGCCATGCATTCCCAATAGATCAGAGGGTCTCACGAGCTACTCTATGCTGATTCACACCTTTCATGGACCCTAGCGACCACTGTAACCTTCTTTCGGGATCTTGCAAGGGACTGTCCTTGAGTGCGATTCCCCATGACAGCCGGGAGTCGCAGACATAATCCAAAGGGATGAGAGTACTACAGAGGCTGAGAGGAGAGTGCCGATGCACAGGGGTCCGCAGAGACCCGACTCGTACAGGGAAGGCGTGGAGGCTGGCTCTCCAGGGATGTAGAGCCACCAGGAAAGGAGCCGGCAGTGGGGCTGAGGGTCAGCAGAGGCACCCGAGCCGTCCTCTGATTGACCGCGAGGCAGCAGGCACATGGGGCGGCATCACCGCTTGTTTTTGGATTTTCTGCTTCCCTGCGCGTTGTGCAGGGGTCCGTAGTGGGTTGAGTATCACAGGCTACGCACAGCAACGCGTTTACTACCTAAGTACATCTACGCCTTCCCTCTGCAGATGAACCACCAGCAGAGGAAGCCCACAAGGCCTCCGACGACGACAATGACTGCGACAGAGATCCCCGCGATGGCACCGGTAGAAAGGCCGCTCTTGTTCGTGCTTCCGTCGGTACTGTCACCATCTTTTATGAGGTAGCAGAGGACGGAGCCACTACCAGCCGATGGAGGGGCGCAGCTAGCGCAGTTGGCGACGCCGGTGATGGATCCCCCGTCGCTCTTGTCGCATGCTATGCACTTTTCTTTGGACAGGTAGTACCCTGCAGCGCACACCGTGCACTTGGTGGCATCGTTCGCATTGCACTCGGAGCACCCAGTGGCGCAGGGAACACACTTCTGAGTGTTACCGCCAGTCTTAGCATATCCAGCCTTGCACGTGTCGCACTGGTCCTGGCTGGTGCACGTCTTACATCCGGCCGAGCAAGTGGTGAGCGCGCCGTTATCCAGCTTGTACCCGTCGGCCGGAGTCTGACAAGCATCGCTCGCTTCTGCTGCGGCTAAGCAGACGCTCTTTCCGGGGAACTTGGTCGTCTCATAGCAGCCCCCGTTCATACGAAGAAGCCCGTTGGCGCATTTATTGCAAACACCACTTCCTTGAGTAGTGCACGTAATGGCCTTTCCGGCCGCCGCCGAGCAGACTCCGTTCTGCGGAAACTGGCCGGCGTCCTTGCACTTGGAGCAGTAGGCCGTGCCATTGACCGTCAGCTCGCACTTCTCGCAGTTGTTAGCATTTGGCTCGCATCCTGGTTTGCACGTCCCCGTGTTGCCCTCTCCTTCGTAGCTGAGGGCCTTCTTAGGCTCGCAGCTCGTACACCCGTTGGAGTTCCCGTTCGCGCACGTCTTACACGAGGTATCGCACTTGGCACAGGCGGCTCCGCTCTTGTAATATCCGTCCTTGCAGGTATCACACTGTCCGTTCTCGTTGCACAGGAGGCAGTTCTCGACCTCGCACTTCTTGCAGGCCTTCTTGCCCCCCTCGTTGGTGCCCGCGTAGTAGCCTCCCAGATCTCCGCAGTTATCGATGCACTGGCCCGTGGGCGTGAGGGCCTTAGTGCCCTCGCACTCTGTGCACACCTCCTTGCTTGTCTTCGGCTCACTGCATGTCTTGCAGCCGGGGGTGTTGCACTGGGGGTCGGATTTCTTCGTGCACCCGGTGCCCGCGTTGTCGGGAACGTAGCCCTCGACGCACTCACAAACGCCAGAGGTCTTTTCCTCGTTGGAGTTCAAGGGGCAGCTTTCAACGCACCCCTTCTTGTTTGGCTGGATCTTCTTATTAGGCCCGCACGTCTTGCAAACCACTCCGGTGGGGCCTTTCTCACAAGTGGCGCAGTCCACCGTCCCTCCGGAAGCGCAGGTGTTGCACTCCTTTGCTTCCTTATCAACGTAATGAGTTGCCGGGCAGCCGTTTGCGTCAACGCACGTGCCAGTTGTGGACTCGTCATCCTTCTTTAGGTACGGCTTGTCATCCTTGCAGGAGGTGCACTTCGCAGCCCCAGTCTTACAGGTCTTGCATGTCTCAGCGCACTTGCTGCATTTTTTACCGCCCGTTGTATCGACGAAGAACCCTTCAGTGCCGGTGCACTCCTGTTCCGTCACACACGACGTCGCGCCCCCGTCCGTCTTAACAATCCTCGCGGTTTGCTGCGCATCAGGGCCGCACGCAGTACACTTAGCAACTCCATTAGCTTGGCTCGTCAGTGCAGACCCGTCACAGGTAGTGCACCCGGCCACGCCCGTGTATGTCTTATCGCCAAGCGTTATGCCCGTCGCGTCTCCGCACGGTATAACCGACTGGTGAGAGACATCTGCGCCCGGTGGCACGAAGTATCCTTGCGCGGCTTGTGTGCATTTTCCCTCAGAGGCTTGCGTGCACATGGTCTGTCCGGGCTGCTGGGCTGCTTCGTAACACCCGCCCTTGTACATGAAAGTCTGACCAGCGCACTGTCCACAGGTCTGATCGGCTGTATTGCCTCCGGAGCTATCTTTACACTTATCTGTTGCACCATCTTTGCCTACACATTTTCCATTGATAGGAACAGATCCTGCGTCACATTGAGAACAGTACAGCTTATCGCCAATCAGAACGTTACATGCGTCTGCTGCACAATTAGTGTTATCTGCGCATTGAACTTCCCGCACGTGCTCTGCTACTTTTTCTGCCCATGCAATCTGGATGGCTAGGCCCGCGAATATAAAACTACCGAACATTAACCAATCTGATAAATTGATAGGAAAAGAATCGCGGTACGTTCAGCCAATCCGTGTGACTGACACACCGCGGAGTATGGTAGCCTGCTTGGCGATCAGTAATAAAACGGGATCCACTAGTCTTCTTGAATGTTGCTTCACCCCTCACAATCTAGACACAATGATGATCACCCGACCACTTGTGTGGCCCATTGTCTTGCAGCGCGGAGCCCTACAGTGGCCATCTTCTGAACGACGCCACCCTGCCATTCGCGGAGGGCCCCTCATCCTCCCTCGTTATAGACCGTGGCAAAAGAGACACAGCAGGCGGCTTGTCCATCTCCGTAAACATCCGAGAGGGCCCTGCCTGTCTGTGTGAGGAGGTTTACTCTTTCCACCGAGGGCGGTTTTCGACTACTTCCGGCGCATCAGTCGCGTCCGGGCGGTGGCGTGCCGCTGGGGCCTGCCTGCGGCGTGGTCCAGAAGTCTCACGGGTAAGCCTCGCTCAATTCCCGGCCAGCCCGGAGGCGAAGGGTGGTCGTGGGTCGCAGTGATAGCCACAGCGGTGGCAAAGAGGGGTCCCCTCCACGTGTGGATCTGGGGTCTCGCGTTCCTCGGCTGTTCTGCGGGCATGTGCACACAATCGGACCTGAGGCGAAGGAGAGCCCGCGAGGACCCGATCCGCATTACGAACGCAAGATCGTACCTCCGGACCCCAAACAGCAAGCCGTGAGTCTCTACTTGGGAGACCACTCCGAAGACGCTTGCCCTCTGGCAGGACACACATGCTGGCTCTGTGGCCTACCGTGTGAGAGCGCCAACAACTAACCGAGCACCTGAGAGAAGCAAACGATGACAGACACAGAGTACCGGGCGACGACAAGCTGATCCTTCCGGCCCAGTACCGAACCAGACAGAGCTCGCCATGCTCATCCACCAAGGTGCACCCATGATCGCGAGCATCGAGCAGGCAGGGACTGGGGTCGCTCTTCCCGCTATCAGGGGCCTAGACGCCCTGGTGGGAAGCCCCAGAGGACTCAAGCAACACAGTAGAGCAGGCCCAGAGCAAGTCGGACCCAGATCCAGAGAGGGCGAGGCGCCGGATAGCAAACAGGGTGAACAACGCGCTGAGCTTCGGGGCAGTTGCTAAGGCTCTCCGCGCCCTTGATGACACGCCCATGGTAGACATCAAGTCGGAGAAGGCCAAGGCTGCCCTCAGCGCGCTACACCCGTGCGTCCTCCCCGAAGGCTACGTTGGCCTTGACTACCCTCTATCGATGAACTCGACGGGGCTGGAGTGGCAACCGAGGAGGAAATGAGAAAGGCCCTGTTGGGACTCTCAACAAGAAGGCCTCGGGCGGTCCAGCTCAGGTGATGAAGCAGAACGACGACTGTGAAATGCCTCACGCAGGCGTACAACGAGCTGACCACCCACCCCGAAGGAGTCCGACGGATACCCCCGATCGCGATAGGCGAGACGGTCACGAACACCTTCCACCGCGTCCTGCTGAAGCGGCTGGTCAGGCATGCCAACTACCTCTCATGCGAACAGATCGCCTTCAAGCAGAACGCATACGCGGTAGGTGTGAGGAGGGCCCACGAGCTCATCAGCAGGCGGGGGTGCACCCCGTCTCCCTCGACATAAAGAACGCCCTCAACTCCCTCCCGAGGGCAGAGGTCGTCAGAGCCCTGAACGAGGCGGGCGTCCCGAAGGTCCTAGTCGACTACATTAGGAACTTCCTCGACCTGAGGCACAGCCGGGACGTGAAGTGCGAGGTCTGGGGCGTCCCCCAGGGCGACCCGCTCAGCACTTTCCTCTTCTGCATGGCCATCGAGCGCCTCCTGAGACGCCTCAAGGAGAGGGGCATCACCTTCCTTGCCTAGCGGACGACATCGTGGCGCTCCACGACGAGGCCTACCCGGCAGGCACGATAATACAGCAGGCCACGGTGGAGGCCGCCGCCATGGACCTGACGATCAGGAGCGACAAGTGCAAGTCCACCATGGCGGGCGAGGAGGTGACTTTCCTCAACCACCCGGTGTCCCCCACCCCTGCAAGCCTTGCCCCAAAGGCCATCGCAGGTGCTGAGACTGCCCCCATAACCATCCACTAGAAGCTCATCTTGATGTCACTCTGTGTGGTCCCGATGGTGAACTACGCCCCCCTGGTCGAGATAACATCGGACAAGGCGGACTACGAGGAGCTCGACAGACGTCGCACAAGGCTTCAGCAAAATAACCAACAGAAGCTGCGATCGCCTGGTCGACTTCCTGGCGTACCCGAAGGAGAAGGGCGGTCTGGGCCTGCTCATGCCGGGGCTCTGCCACGACGAGCTGCGGAGGGCATGGGCCTCCCCGGACGTCAACAAGGGGACCAGGGACCCGGTGGAGCTGTCGGTGGGCGGCCAGGCACTGCAGGGGAAGGGGACCTACTTCAACCGCCTCCTCACGCGCACACATCAGCTTCCGGACAGAGCGGCGGCGTGCTGACCGAGGAGGAAAGGGCCCTGAAGGAGAGAGATGGCTCGATCATGGCGCAGACAAGAGGCACCTGCCCAGGCTGCCACACGGCGAGGACCCTCGACCACGAGGCACGACATGATCGTCGCGTGCCTGTACCTCCGCGTCTCGGGGAAGTTCAACGCAGAGCTGGAGGTCAAGACCCACAGCCACCTCAGCGACCAGAACCAGAAGCCCGACATCTGGCTCGTCGACAAGTGCAAGGCAGTGGACGTGCGTGTCATCCAGCCCCGCCAGATGGATGCCTACTACAACGAGAAGGTCAAGAAGTACAGGGACGGGACGCTCCCGATCATCTACGGGACAGACGGCTCCCTCCACCCCAGTCCAAGGGGCACCTCGAGGAGCTCCACGTGGACCTCTATCCGGGCTGCCTTCGCCATCGCCCACATGGCTGCAAAGGCGAACGAGCACCCGACGAAGCTGATCAGACGCGACCGGGCCGAAAGCCTGGCCACCCAGAGCGACCGCCTCCTGTCATCCTACTTCTGACAACCGAATGAGCCCATCCCTGGGACCTGTCGACAACGATCGAGGGGGGGGCAAAGACTGGACACACAACCGAGTTGAATCCCAACCAGTGGAGAGAGCCCCGCTAGCTGCTGCTGATCTACATGGACAGTATCGAAAATGACAACAAAGACCAGAGCTTCACCCACCATGAAGGGAGAACAAGGAGAGGCACCCTCAGTAGAACAGTGAGTCCGTAAGAAAACCTCGAAAAGATCGATGTGCACGCCCGCGGAACAGCCGAGGAACGCGAGACCCCAGATCCACACGTGGAGGGGACCCCTCTTTGCCACCGCTGTGGCTATCACTGCGACCCACGACCACCCTTCGCCTCCGGGCTGGCCGGGAATTGAGCGAGGCTTACCCGTGAGACTTCTGGACCACGCCGCAGGCAGGCCCCAGCGGCACGCCACCGCCCGGACGCGACTGATGCGCCGGAAGTAGTCGAAAACCGCCCTCGGTGGAAAGAGTAAACCTCCTCACACAGACAGGCAGGGCCCTCTCGGATGTTTACGGAGATGGACAAGCCGCCTGCTGTGTCTCTTTTGCCACGGTCTATAACGAGGGAGGATGAGGGGCCCTCCGCGAATGGCAGGGTGGCGTCGTTCAGAAGATGGCCACTGTAGGGCTCCGCGCTGCAAGACAATGGGCCACACAAGTGGTCGGGTGATCATCATTGTGTCTAGATTGTGAGGGGTGAAGCAACATTCAAGAAGACTAGTGGATCCCGTTTTATTACTGATCGCCAAGCAGGCTACCATACTCCGCGGTGTGTCAGTCACACGGATTGGCTGAACGTACCGCGATTCTTTTCCTATCAATTTATCAGATTGGTTAATGTTCGGTAGTTTTATATTCGCGGGCCTAGCCATCCAGATTGCATGGGCAGAAAAAGTAGCAGAGCACGTGCGGGAAGTTCAATGCGCAGATAACACTAATTGTGCAGCAGACGCATGTAACGTTCTGATTGGCGATAAGCTGTACTGTTCTCAATGTGACGCAGGATCTGTTCCTATCAATGGAAAATGTGTAGGCAAAGATGGTGCAACAGATAAGTGTAAAGATAGCTCCGGAGGCAATACAGCCGATCAGACCTGTGGACAGTGCGCTGGTCAGACTTTCATGTACAAGGGCGGGTGTTACGAAGCAGCCCAGCAGCCCGGACAGACCATGTGCACGCAAGCCTCTGAGGGAAAATGCACACAAGCCGCGCAAGGATACTTCGTGCCACCGGGCGCAGATGTCTCTCACCAGTCGGTTATACCGTGCGGAGACGCGACGGGCATAACGCTTGGCGATAAGACATACACGGGCGTGGCCGGGTGCACTACCTGTGACGGGTCTGCACTGACGAGCCAAGCTAATGGAGTTGCTAAGTGTACTGCGTGCGGCCCTGATGCGCAGCAAACCGCGAGGATTGTTAAGACGGACGGGGGCGCGACGTCGTGTGTGACGGAACAGGAGTGCACCGGCACTGAAGGGTTCTTCGTCGATACAACGGGCGGTAAAAAATGCAGCAAGTGCGCTGAGACATGCAAGACCTGTAAGACTGGGGCTGCGAAGTGCACCTCCTGCAAGGATGACAAGCCGTACCTAAAGAAGGATGACGAGTCCACAACTGGCACGTGCGTTGACGCAAACGGCTGCCCGGCAACTCATTACGTTGATAAGGAAGCAAAGGAGTGCAACACCTGCGCTTCCGGAGGGACGGTGGACTGCGCCACTTGTGAGAAAGGCCCCACCGGAGTGGTTTGCAAGACGTGCGGGCCTAATAAGAAGATCCAGCCAAACAAGAAGGGGTGCGTTGAAAGCTGCCCCTTGAACTCCAACGAGGAAAAGACCTCTGGCGTTTGTGAGTGCGTCGAGGGCTACGTTCCCGACAACGCGGGCACCGGGTGCACGAAGAAATCCGACCCCCAGTGCAACACCCCCGGCTGCAAGACATGCAGTGAGCCGAAGACAAGCAAGGAGGTGTGCACAGAGTGCGAGGG